AGGGAGGTGGATGGGAAATGGTGCAACCGGGACATAAACCGGTACCCTTACAGGGTGCCTGCACCACAGGGAGAGGCTTAACCTACCATGCCACAGTGCCAACACTGTTACCAGCTTTTAAAAATAAATTGTAAGGCAGTCATGGAGTTCACAAAGGATGGCTGAGTACCATATTTTAAACATGTTTCAAAGCAAATTCTCAAGTGTAAAAGTGGTCCTTGGGAATATTAGAAGAGTACATGTCTCAAATTTGTTTTCTTACTTAGTTCTATGCACAAGGCCAATGGTCTTTACTTAGCACTCATTCATAACACTTTAGCCAGAGAGATTTTAGTTCTATAGGTTGAATTCACACGGCAGGAAAAAAAAACCAAAGGGACAAGGTCAAGTATACAATTATTTGATCTCATTTATTCCGAGACCCTCCATAATTGCTGATATTGCAATTAACTGTCTATACATATCACTACTATTTATTTATGCTAACATGAAATACAACTAAGAATCAGGACACCCTGGGGGTCTTTCCTTGGTTGAAGGTCAAAAGGAGGAGTTTCAGAACACAACTGTTAGGGCTGTATAGATTCTCTTTGCTAAGAAGGTGGGCTTGGGACTGTGGCGTTGCAGTGTGCTACAACAGTAAAGCCAGGCCCTGTGACACCAGCATCCCATATAGCCTCGGCTGTTCCATTTTTGATCCAGCTCCCTGCTAAGTGGTATGAGAAAAGCAGTTGAAGATAGTTCAAGTGCTCATGTCTCTGCCACCCTCATGGTACGTAGGATGAAGCTCCTGGTCCTTGGCCTCAGCCTGGCCCAGCATTTACCATTGCTGCCATCTGCAGAGTGAACCAACAGATGGAATTTTTCTGTTTCTTTTCCTCTCTCTCTCATTCTGCAACTCTTTCAAATACATAAAAAAATAAATAGATAATTTTTAAAATTAGGCTGGCATGAGTGCCTGGCTTCCGCCAGCACAGGCTGATTCATAGGGCTTTCAGGGGATCTAGGGAATGGCATGCAAGGATCTGAGGGCTCCCCTGCAGACAGGCAGGTGGAGCCAGCCTGGGGATTTCTACACATGCTTGATCCTGAGCAGGGTGGGTGGGGAGGGGAGAGCCATAGTTAGCATGGTGTGGAATGCTGATAGACCTGGCTTGAGTGGACAGAGGGGTAAGGTCCCAGGCCAGCATGCATGCCAGGAGCTTGGGTCCCTGGTATGCAGGAGGAGCTCAAGGCCAACACACCATCCCACTGGAAGACTGGGCTGGGGAACCTATGCACTCCTGGCTGCAAAAACTGTAGATTGCGCAAAGAAGGGGATATGAGAATATGGGAAAGGGAGGATCACTGAGGGAATATGTTGCAGGTGAAGAATGACTGCTGGGGACTTCCATCAATGAGGCCACTGTACTTGCATGTAAGTGAAGGGGCATGAGACCAACTGGAGAGAGAAGCTGGAGGACCTTTTTGTGTCAGACTGATGTACCTGCTCACGTGGGAGACCTGAGCTTGGATAGTTACAGTGACCACCACTCACTGGTACACACTAAAGCTAGGACTGGGGGCTACGTGACAGGACTAGACCATAGTACCTGCCAGTGAGAGTCGGAACAGGGAGCAGGTAATGTTAGGCTGGACCATGACACTAACCAGCACATGAGAGAACCAGATCTGGGGCAGATTCTGTGGGGGTATGTGGGCTCAACCCTGTGGAACTGCCATATCTGCCAGTTTGCTCAAGAGCTAGGGGTAGTGATGGACTGAGCTAGGCATAACAATGGAACTGCAAGACACTCATGGGTACTGAGGTGGGGAACAGCCAGGCTGGTCCAGGTTGCAGCATCTGTAGGCACACCCAAGAACACCCAAGATTGGGACAGGTGGGGCTGCAACGTTCACTAGCTCATACAAAGGCCAGGACAGAGGGGACAAACCATGCCCGGTAAGGGCCTTGTACCCACTGGCATATGTGAGATCTGGCTCTGGTAGTGGGCCCATTTGGAGAACTTGAGAAACTCCCATGGGGAAAATCACAGGATCTGTGATCTGCTCAGGCACTGCATGTGTCAGAACTGGGTCCCCTCTGTTGCTAAGATGGTGCAATAGACGGCATGCCCAAATGCACATGGAGGATATGGCAGTCCATTGGGGTCTGCAGAGGACATCTAATACCATAGCAGAAAAAGAAGGAAAGAACAAATTGGACAACTCTCCCAGCCAAGCGTTGATAGCAACTGTCTGGGTGAAAGGAGACTCTAAGGTGGACTATGTCAGCCAATAGAACTAGGAAGCACTTTTCATCCTTGGATCCGTGAGCTTGACGGCATTTCAGAACTATCGAAACTGCTTGACCAGAACCCTCAGAGCATGTTCCATTCGGAAACTCTGGGATGACATCAGACAGCCATTCCCCATCCCTGGGTACTGATGCTGTTAGGATGTTTGATTCAGAGTCTCTCCTTATCTCCCCTCTTTCCAACATACAGGAAGAAGAAAAGAAATGTGGAAACAACGGTCTCATCCACTTTCTCCTAATCTTCAACCATTCCCACTCTAATCAGTGGTCCACATGGGCATGTATCCTTCTCAACTATGTAAACATAAAAAAAAATTCTAAACAAACAGAAAGTAAAAGGTAGGGCTGGTGCAGTGGCGTAGATCACTAGTTCCCTGCCTGTGGTGCCAGCATTTCTGTATTGCTGCCAGTTGGTATCACTGCTGTTCCACTTCCAATTCATGTCTCTGCAAAAGGCCTGGGAAAGCACTAGGTGAGAGCCAAGGCCTTGGGCCCTTGTACCCACATGGGAGACCTAGAGGAAGTTCCTGACTCCTGGCTTCAGACCAGCCAAGCTCTGGCTGTAACAGTCATCTAGGGAGAGAACCAGCAGATGGAAGATCTCCGTCTTTCCCTCAGTAACTCAACTAAAATAAAATTTTAAAAATAAATAAAAATGTAGACAATTTTCTATTTGCTGTGATTTTTTCCTTAAAAGCACTCCCTCTCCCACCACAATGCCAAGGTAGGAATTACAACCCAGAATTCTTTAAAAAAAATTATTTTCATTGCAAAGTCAGATATACAGAGAGGAGGAGAGACAGAGGGAGATCTTCCATCTGATGATTCATTTCCCAAGTGACCGCAACTGCTGGAATTAAGCCAATCTGAAACCAGGAGCCAGAAGTAGTTTCTTCCAGATCTCCCAACCCAGAATTCTTAGTAGTAATTATCAGGAAGAATGTAGTTGGAAGGTTTTTATATTCTGGAAGGAAACAGCATGAGCCATGAAAGAAATGACTTCATTGGGTCCGGCAAGGTAGCCTATTGGTTAGTCTTTGCCTTGCATGTACCAGGATACCACATGGGCACTGGTTCTAATTCCAGTGGCCCTACTTCCCATCCAGCTCCCTGTTTGTGGCCTGGGAAAGCAGTTGAGGATGCCCAGAGCCTTGGGACCCTGCAGCTGCATAGGAGACCCAGAAGTTCTTGACTCCTGGCTTCAGATCGGCTCAGCCCTGGCCATTGCAGCCACCTGGGGGGTGAGTCAGTGGAATGTACATCTTCCTCTCTCTCCTCCTCCTCTCTGTATATCTGACTTTCCAATAAAAATAAATAAATTGTTAAACAAACAAACATAGGCCTCTTCCCTCAAGTCACATGACACATGTTCTAGAAATTCAACCTAAGAGTTATGCTCCATAAAACCCAATCCGCCCCCCCCCCCCAACTTTTGGAAGAATTCAAGAGCAAGGAACCCGAACACTGAATTGAATGTATCAAAAAGTTGCAAGTTAATCTAGGGTCACAAAAGTATAAAACCAAGGAAATCAAGAATCCCTTCTCACCACCCCAAAAGACATAATCCTCCTTACTGTCCTCTGGGAAGCTGCTTCATCTAAAAATGGGGAGCACCAAACTGTGTGGGGAGCAGTGCTGGGCCCAGTTACCCAGGCTGAAGACACCCGGGACATCCCCCTGTCACGGGCGACCCTGCCTGCATGGGGGCAGCGAGGCGCCCTGGTGCTTCCTGACACTTAGCACCGCTGCCCATCAGCAGCTCCTGATACCATTTTGATTTTTGAACCCAGGGTAGGTCACGATGTATAACTGAATGAAAATTAAATTTCAATTCAAGGTTTTAGAAAAGGAATAGAGACTATATTTGTAGTATTATTTACGATTGGTGAGAATTCTTGATTGGGAAATATGAACTCTACAGAAGATCGAAGAGGAAGCTCTTGAGTGATATGTTCCCGGTAGCACACAGTCACGTGGCCACACGGATCTCGATGCTAGTTACTCTTGAAGCATACGTCAGTACTCAGCACAAACACGCACCTCATGCTTCACAATGGCAGAGCTGGCACCCTCGAGATCTTTATTATTATGTAAGCACAGCAAAACATCTTAGAATTCAAAGGCTTGTCAAAGATCTTTGTCAGCTGAGGATCTTGGCGAATTTTCAGTGCAGATTACAACCCGTTAAAGGTCATGAAATCACTTCAGCAAGTAACAACAAAGGAAGTTTTTCTGAGTATGCAGAGTGTGTTTTGTGCAACTTCTATTTACAGTTTTTGTATTTACATATACACACACTTGTATTTCTACATGTTGTGTCTTCACTTACATAATGGATTATGTAGAAAGCAGGAGGAGGGGCGCAGGGAGCGCCAGCTGAGCACTGTCTCTGGGCTGGGCACCATTCCATCTCATACAGGAGCCCGTGTTATCTCCCCACCCACATCCTCAATATGAGAACACGGTCTACACAGATGGCAGGTAACCTGAACAAGGTCACCCAGTGAGGAAGCAGCTGAGGTTAGACTCGCTCCTAGACAGCCCCCAAAGTCAGGTGCGCAGGGCAGCCTAGTCTACCACCAGCCTCCCCTAGAGCCAGCAGAGCCAGCGGTAACCCAGCCACCCTGACGTCCACGACTCCCAGAAAAGCTGTCACATGAGTCTGAAATTAGCCCAGCTCAAACAAATCCAAGACACTCCCAAGCACGGTTGAGACTGAGTGTGATTTATTTACAGCAGCATTTCCTTTTTACAATGTTGCCGCTTTTTAAATAGCAGAATTTTTCTAGGATATCAGGCAGTTTTAAATTATTCCGGTATTTTTACAAAGACAAATTTCACCCTCTGGGTTTTATTCACATGAATTTTTAAGAGTTGCAAATAGTTCTTTTGAAACAGGACTAAAGGCTCTTGTATTAGACCTGGTATCTTTCTGAAAACTACCAGTTTGTCAGAAATTATGCGCACAGTTCAGATCCTTCCAGAAATCTGAACCTGCCCCTCCCGGAGACTCGTAGATTCCCAACTTCCCTGGGGCAGACTGTGTGCATTTTTCCTTTCTTTGTCCGCTGACATTTGAGAGGCTTCATTTTCCTCTGCCATGCCACATGGAAGTCTGTCACTTTCAAAGACTCTACAATTCAGAGATCAATGTTTGACAATCACACTTTCATGTCACACGGACAGATTTCAAATATTTATTAGTGGAACTGTAAGAGAGGAGAGATTTTCCTAACAGTGTAAGCATGGAATCCTCGAGTTTCTGTAATATTCATTAAAAAATAGAAAAGGGTAATTTCACCATGATCAAAGCTACAGTTCACATGAGACTGCCACAGCCGCCTGCCCGGCTTCCCTGCGGGGCAGCCCAGGGTCCGTCAGGAACATCACGCCGCAGCGATGGAAGCATCATCCACTAGGCGGCCCTGCGGCTGTAAAGGGGCACAAACAACACGGTTTACACAGTGGCAATAATCGCAAAACTGCATTACTCAAAGGACTCTAAAATTCTCCCAACTGTCCTACGAAGTCAGAATACTCATACATCCCCAGATCAAACTCAAATGCGCAACCTCTCTAACCGCACTTCTCTCTCCACTTCAGCCTGTGACGGTCCCGGCACAGGGGCCCCTTCCCTGCGGAGGGACTGCAGGTGTGAGAGCAAGAACCGCGTTTAAAAGCTACTGTTGCAACACGATGAGTGTGGGTATGGGATATAGTTTACAAGAGTCAATAATAAAATTTTCTTTTCCAGATGAAAAAAAAAAAAATAAGCTGCACCAAGTCTGGAAAAATAAAAGTAAAAATAATAGGGAAGATATATTAACAAAAGAGTGTTTTATAATTAACCAAATCCTGGATTATAATAATGGACAGTTTCCAACATTTGAAAAAGACACAAAGTAGTTAGCAATGTAAACCTCTCATTTCAAAAGAGCTACAGTGGAAGCGGGCATGCAGGATCCCAATCTACTCCTGTATCTGGAGTTACCCAGAGAACCCAGGAGTACCAGGGGACAGCATCTGGAAATAGCTCAGTCTAGGTGACGGCTGGGCTTGGGGCCACTTGCTCCACCAATTCACTCTCAGTCTGTGACCATCCCACATATTCCCTTATTGGAGAAACCTGGGAATTGTCTCATTTTTAAATTAAACTCAAAATCCTGATCTACATTTGCCGACAAGTGATCATTTTCAGAAGGGGGTCTGGGATGGCACAGCTGTAGAGAACTGAGAAAGATCAGGATACTTAGAAATTCATTCATTGTGGTTGACACCAAGTTACAAACTAACTGCAATTTAAAAACACACTAAGGCACTCACTCCTCTGTCAATGCAGAGACCTTGTGTTCAAGGATAATGGAAGGGTAAGTTATTATTTATACAAAGGAATGATAATCTCTGAGATTAAATAAGAGTTCAATAGCAATATTACCCAATTTGCGTAAAAGTCAAAATTGCAACCATTAACTTCAAAACACTGTTCAATGAAGTTTACGTGGCAAATAAATGCTTTTTTGTTTTAAAGATAGTGAATTTAAAACAGCAGAAAAAATCTCAGCCATACCTTTACAAAAATACTGGTGGGTATAAAACGTCTCAGCAGCTGATTTGTGAAGTTCGGAAATCGAAGTAGGTTGATGTTTAGAGATGGCAGCTGCTGGTACCCGGCCATCAGAGGATAGAAATTATACAACATTTCCTGTTCAGTGCCAGGCAGGATCCGCAACCGAATCTGCATCACAAAAAGTTATGGGGAAAGCTAATCAAATACACATACCAACAACCCCCGCGGGCTGCACCCCTCAACTATTTACACAAGACTGGACACTTAGATTCTTCAGGTAAAATAGTCCATCCCCTAGTCACAGAACGCAGAGTATGAGGCTGAATTCAGCACACGGTCAGGATGAGGCAGAAAGGAAGTGGATTAGAACAACACAGTATCTAACAGGCCACTTACACCCGGTTAGGAAGAATACGACTAGGCTGGTATTTTCTGTGTCTTAGGCTGGGTAGATTCCATATTCACAATGTGTTACAATATGTTACAAGTCAATTTGTGGAGGAATGTCTGTCTGTAGACAATTTATGTCAACAGAAGACAACTAGTTTTTCTGATATTTTTAGAAATTTTGTCTTTGTGTAAGGTAAGTAACTGGTGGGGGTAAGACACTTTGAGGCCTTTAACAGTATTTTAGAAAAGAGCACAAACTGGTAAGATTTTGGCATCTTTGTATTTCCTAACGACTTAGAAGTCATACCTGGAAAAGATCAGGATGACCAAGAAAGGTGAGGACTGAGTGCACATGTGTACGACGTGTGCAGGTGTATATGTGCATGGGGTACTCATAAATTATAGCTGGCATTGTATTTAACATATCATCAATGCAAAAGAGGGGATGGACCTAACGCATATTTCTTACACTGTTTTTTGCATTTAACAACAAACATAGGACTAAGAACATAGCACAGGTACTACTGGTGTCAATGACATGCCTGTTCTCTTAATTATGTCTTTTTTACTGTATTTCATATTATTATTATTAATCATACAATGCAGTTCCATAGGCTCTGGGGTTTCCCCTCCCCCTACTATGTCTTTAAAAGTGCTTAAAAATCTACTATCACCAGTCAGCACAGATCAGCACAACATTTGCATTGCTGGGTCTACAGGAGCACCACAGCGAGGTGGACTATACCTGTTTGAGGCCTGAGAACATGAAGGCATCACTGGGCTCCACAGAAACTTCCACATCTTGAACCAGGTTGGTCTTATTCTGCAGGTGATATCTGACAGGTAATGATTCTCTGACACGCCCAAAAGATGGCAGATCTAGAGAGAAAGTGCGTGCCCTTTGGTTAACAAAGATAGCTCACCATTTAAGGACTCTTTCTGAGAATGTATCTCATTCTATAGGCACAGTTCTGTGTTCTTGCCAGGTAAGAAAATGCTTTGATTAAATAACAGATACAGGATAAAACCGACTAAGAAAATCTTCTATGAATGACTGATATTTAAGGAAATTATACAACATTTCCTGTTCAGTGCCAGGCAGGATCCTGATTCTAGATTCTAGATTCTAATCTAGAATGAATGAAAGTTATGTTTTAGTGAAATTGTCTATAAAATTTTCTTTCATTCATTCATTCAATTTATACTGTTCCTTGCTTGGCCTGCGAGTCCTTTGTAGTTCTACCACTTTATATTTCCTAAAATTAAAAAATATGGACTCCTGTATCATTTTATGTCCGTGTGCAGGGGCCATGCTGATCTCGCCTGAATCATCCAATTCTAGCACACCTGCTGCTGAAGGAAGCACTATACATCATTTTTTCAGAATTATTACAGACATGAGGTAACCATGGTAACAGGAAGCTTCTCTGCCTGACAGCATTCCAGTAGGGCAAAAGCAATGATAGCTACTCACGCCTTCTGATGGGGCAGTACCATCAGACAGAGAGTATTCTTGACACAGCTTTGATCCTGAATGTAACCAAGCCTACAGACTACCTACCGATGTACATCAACAGGCCAAGAAAATAACCACGTGCAATCAGCAAAACCTAGGCCGTGGGAAGTTTTACAAATGACTTGGTTTCTCCAACAAATAAAAAGCAAGCAAGAAAGCAGAGAGATGGAAATGGTGGTGGTGGAGGGTGTGGCGATGGGGGAAGTAGTAGCAGGTGAAGGGATGGGGGGGTGACCAGCAGAGGGGCGAGGATGGGAGTCAGTCAGCTGACCTACAGATTACGTACAAATAGCGTCAGCTTCTAGACCTCAAATAAACTGAAAAAAACGTTCACTGTCAACTAGCACAATTTCAACACTGATATGAAGAAATTACTGCTAACAGTTTAAATCATGACAATGGTTTTACAAGTACATCTAGAAACAAAGCTGACATCTTAAGAGGGAAATGGAAATATTTAGGGATGCAACACTATCTTGGATTTGTTTCAAAGTAAGGGGGTAGGAGGAGGGTGTGGGGGTAGAGATGAAACAAGATTGGCCATAACCTGACTTTATATCAAAACAAAACAAGACAAAAAAAAAAAAAACTGGAAAGTCTTCTTCACAGTTAAAAAGCGAAGACCTTAGAAGTTAAAATGCCCGTTAACTTTGGATGATTTTTATCAAGCACAGTTCGTGCTCCTGCTACCTGCGTTCACGTGCAGCGGGATGTTCTCGACGATCACGTGCGGCAGAGTGATGACCGTGCTGATGGCAGGAATGCCTTCCGCGGCCGAAGTCCTACGGCAGAAGAGGTCACCTCTTACACTCACAGGCGATACAAGAGGCGGACAAATAAAAAATGCAATGGGCACGTTCACAAGCAGTCTCAAGGAAAAGTAAAGTCTGCATTTATTTCCCAAAACTTGATTAATAGAAGTATTTTATGAAGTAGGAACTTGAGAACCTCGCTTTTGCTAGTTTTTCTGATTGACAAACGTCCTAAGCCATGGCTGCCTCTTGTTTCTCCCAGCGGGTGATGAATTCGGAAGCTGCGTTGGTCAGTCAATCGCACAACACATCATTTCACACAGGATTTTGGAAGCGGTACCGTAGGGACATGAAAACTGACACTAACCTTTTGTCAGTTTTCCTAATATGCCTTTGAAGGTTGTTTTTTTTTTTAAGGTTTATTTATTTTTATTAGAAAGCCAGATATACAGAGAGGAGGAGAGACAGAGAGGAAGATCTTCTGTCCACTGATTCACTTCCCAAGTGACTACAACAGCTAGAGTCGAGCCAATCCGAAGCCAGGATCCAGGAACTTCTTCCGGGTCTCTCACGTGGGTGCAGGGTCCCAAGGCTTTGGGCCATCCTTCCCAGGCCACAAGCAGGGAGCTGGATGGGAAGCAGGGCTGCCAGGATTAGAACCGGGGCCCACATGGGATCCTGGGCATGCAAGGCGAGGACCCTAACCACTACGCAATTGTGCTGGGCCCTCTTCCAAAGTTTATATTTTGTCATTTCCCTTTCTTCATGGCATTTTTTTAATGAAGTAGAAAACGATTTTAAGAAATCAAATTCATCAATTTTTGTGGCTCACACCTTTGTACCTTGAAGAAATTCCTCCCTATTCATACAGCACTTCTCTCACACATTCCACTGAAAGTAGTACATTTTGATCTCTTATAATTAGAGCTTTAGTGTGCCGGAATTTTTATATTTAGCATATGATCTAAATTTGTTCCAAAAGGATAATGAGTTGTTTACCACTAACGACTAAAATTCATCTCTTTTTCACCAACCTTCAGCGCTGCCTCTGTCAAGTGTGATTTCCACACATGTGTGCATCTCTCATCTATTTCTGGACACTCCCTTGTCCTGCTGCCTTATTTACCTTCACAGTCAGTTCTGGAGTCAGAAGGGCAGGCACTACTGCTCAGCTCTCCGTCTGCAGTATCCTCACCACTTCTGACTTCTTGCTTTTCTACACAAATTTTACAATCAACACCACCAGGTTATGTAAAAATAACTGTCCTGATATTGAAGAAACTGCAGAAAATCCATTGAACAACCCCCAAAAGTAATCTCATCAAAGATTTCTTAGGTCTTCGGGTAATGTGGTAAAGCTTTACAATTTTCTCCATAAAGGTAAGGTACATTATTTATTAAATATATTCTTAGATACCTTAGAATTTTGGTTGCTATGTAAACAATATCGATTTAAAAAATATACTGTTTAGGGGGCCAGCATTGTGGTATACCAAGTTAAGTTTCTGCCTGTAATGCTGCTATCTCATATGGGCACTGGTTCCTGTCCCAGCTGCTCTACTTCTCATCCAGCTTTCTGCTAATGTGTCTGGAAAGCAGTGGAGGATGGACCAAGTGCCTGGGTCCCTGCACCCATGTGGGAGACCTGGAAGAAGCTCCCGGCTTCAGTATAACTTCAGCTAGGCCCAGCCCCAGCTGATGCAGCCATCTGGCAAGAGAACAAGTAGATGAAAGATCTCTCTCTCTCTTTCTCTGTCTCTACCTGTCTCAACTCTGTCTTACAAATAAATAAATTTTTAAAAAATACATAAACTGCTGAGAAACTTATATTACTGATGATATGTCTAACAATCTTGCTAAACTTCACAATTTTAATGGTTTCTTAATTGATTTGTGTTTTCTACGTAGGCAAGTCTATTGATTACAAATGAGGACAAATGAGGATCTGATATTTTTTAATGGTCTCACCTTCAAATGCATTGTGGTTAAAATTTCCTTAGCATATAAGTCACCAATTGTGACAAATGCAAATTAAAAAAAAACTTTTTTCAAGTTTCTCATATTTATTCAGTGTAGTAAACTCCAATAAATCAACAGGACTGCATGCATTTAAAGGAGAAGTATTTCCTGGTTAAGTGGAAAATTGTGTGGATGGCTTCTGGAAGAACTTTATTCTAAGCAGCTTTGTACCGACACATTTCATTTAGAAGTCTGGACCTTCTTTCTTCAGTTTGCCATAATCCGCATTCACTGAGTAGAACCCGTACTGATCACTGGGAACCAGTTTGTTCAGGGTTCTGGGTTACATTTTCTGTCCCAACTGACAACCCCAGGACCTCCTACTCCAAAAAAAAAAGAAAAAACAAGAAGAAGGGAATCAAGCTGGGGTGCTTCCCAGTCTGCCCAAGCACCTGGCGGAGCATCTTTGCAGCAAGAGCCCCGAGTTAGAGTTGGAAGGTCCAGGACTACGCAGTCTCCACCCCGGGACAGTATGGATGTGCCGCAAATTAAAATTTAATGATCACTTTTAGTCTTTGTCTTTTTTGATAAATGGTCAGTTAAACTCTTGAGATTTCTATTCTGATCTTTAGAATGATGGAAGTTCTCAATTAATCAATGGCAAGAACAAATAAGCAAGATATCAAAACAGCAAAGACACTGAACAAGAGAGAGGAGATATAATTTTTACCTCTTCCAGGAGATAATATAATGTCCAGTTGCTACTCCACCTTCAACAGGTCCAACAGATGGGCATCGAAGACAAAAGCATTCACTAGCACTCTCTCCAGTCTGTAAGACAACTACAAGAAAGGGTCTTTATAAGTCTTATAAATGGCTTCGTCTGTAAAAGGAGTTTCACATCCAGGTAATATAACAAAGAAGGAATACTTTATCAACTGTATATATCAAGTACTTATGGAGACTTGGAGACTAAGATTCAAAAAAGTCAAATGAACTTCCTCAGGATCACAAAATCCAGTGTTTTTGTTAACATATCAATACGCTCTTGTGCTAACAGCCAGTTGGATGCCCACGCACCTGCAACAATGTTCTATTTAACAAGTGGAGACAGAATAGTATCCCATGGTGATTATTTTTCCTGTTGCTAAAGAAATTATTTCAGAGTGGAGAAAGGGATAAAAAAAATTTTAGACACTTTAAAAGTATTTGAAATGTTCTTCCAGAAAAGTCTGCCTATCTCTGAATAAATACATGTTACTGAGCCTCAAATGAAAATACATTGCACAATGCCTTGGCTCCACCCAACACAGCCACTGACCTCTGCAAGGAAGCCTTCCTCCGGCCGATCCTGCAGAAAGTGCCGTGAAGACAACATCTGCACTTACCTACAGTGAAGCTCCTCTACCATGCAGCGCTTCAGACTGCAGTGCCACTCCTGCAAATGCCAGCAGGCAAAGGTGCCTCCTGACTAATGCCAATTTTAACAAATCTGTGATAAAAGCTATGAAGTAACAAGGTCCTTAAACATCAGGCTGCAATAGACTCAACAGATTTCTGATTGTGAGCAGTGGGTAATATGCATGATGTGGTAAAAAAGTCAACTTGAAGTAGTTTTAGGTAGTTTTAAGAAATGTGAAAAGATACATTGTAAATGATTAATTTTAAATGAATGAACCCGGGACTGGCACAATGGCTCAAATGGCTAATCCTCAAACTCCAAGCATTAGCATCCCATATGGGTGCTGCTTCATGTCCTGGTTTGTACTCCACCTCTGATCCAGTTCCCTGCTTGTGGCCTGGGACAGCAGTAGAGGACGGACCAAAACCTTAGGACCCTGCACCAATGTGAGACCCAGAAGAAGCTACTGCTTCCTGGCTTTGGATCCGCTCAGCTCTGGCCAGTGAGGCCATTTGGGGAAAGAACCAGTAGATGGAAGCTCTTTCTCTCTGTGTAAATCTGCCTTGCCAGGGCCCAGCACAGTAGCCTAGTGGCTAAAGTCCTTGCCTTGCAGGCCCTGGGCTCCAATATAGGCGCCAGTTCATGTCCCGGAAGCCCTGCATCCCATCCAGCTCCCTGCTTGTGGCCTGGGAAAGCAGTTGAGCACAGCCCAAGGCCTTGGGACCCTGCACCCATGTGGGAGACCCAGAAGAATTCCTGGCTCCTGGGCTCAGATCGGCTCAGCCCCAGCAGTTGCGACCAGTTGGGGAGTGAATCAGTGGACAGAAGATCTTCCTCTCTGTCTTTCCTCCTCTCTGTATATCTGCTTTTCCAACGAAAATAAATAAATCTTAAACAAACAAACAAAAGGCATTAATTCAAACCTCCCTTGAGAGAGAGACTGAGTACCTTTCTTTCGTGGGTCACTCCCCAGATGACCACAATGTCAGCGCAGTCCCCAAGACCTGCATTAGGAGGAATGCTGAAACCAGCAGCATTGCTGGGACTTGAACTCAGACACTCCAGTAAGGATGTGGGCAGTGACTTAGCCGCTGAGCCAGATGTCGCCCTCCAGTACATTTTTAAAGCACACCATTAGAGCAGAAAAGAAATCTAATCTCTGAAAATGAAGCAACTTACACGAACAGTAAATGATACTGAGTTTACTTTAATTTAATTGCATTCGCTTTTGGGAGAGTTTGGAAAAGTTTCAAGTTCCCTCAGCAAGGCCAGCCATGGCACTGGCTTGCCCACAGGCCCGCCCTTGGTGGCTCACCTCTGTCCACCTGGGACTCCAGCTGGTCCACGGCGGTCATGGAAGGAGCGAGCTGCAGCTCACTGGACACGATCGTGAGGGCCCAGGGCGAGGTGCTCAGGAGATCCGTCATCAACAGAAAGGGGATGTCGGCATAGACCCTGTCCAGGGACTGAAACTGGCACAGAGAAGGAGAAGAGGTGGTCAGGAAGCAGAGTCACCTGTTTTGTGTCAATTTCCAGTCCATTTTTTTTTAACCTGAATGATTTCCACCATGTGGGCCACAGAAGCATACCTTTGTAGAAACAAATTTCATCGCCACCTCAAATGGCAAGACAGTTTCTATTGTTACTGTTTCATCCTGCAAGAAAAACCAAGGACACATTTTCATGGCTTTTGTAAATCTTTTCGTTCAAATACAATTTCAAAATCAGAGGTCAAAGAAAAAAAATAAAATCCAGATCCCACAACTGATCTAATAAGATAAATGTTAGGAAGGAAAGGCCCTTTTCGTAGGTGTTCACTATTGCAAATATATCATCCTCTGGATCTAGACAAGTGCAAGGCTCGTTCTCATTCTCACCTCACAGAAAAGGAAGCAGATGCTAACAGCAATGAAGGGCCTCACGCAGAGCCCCAAAGCTGCTGCTGTCACGCCCAGAATCCGTGCCTTCCTTTTGCCCAAGTGTTTTACACTACAGCCCAACTCAAGCTGACTAGAATAGTAATGCAGTATGACAGATGTTTGTTATAACTACTACCCATGTATTATTAGGCATCAGAATACTCCAAAAAGTTTGGTATAAGAGGGAATTAAATGCTAAATTAATTTTGGTGTAAAATGTTTTTGAAATCTATGCACAGCTTTTTTATAAAATGCAATCTTATTGAACTTTTTTTGAAGACCTCCCCTGGTAAGACTCATAGCTATTCAAGGAAAAGGGGTGCTATTCTAACTGCCACTTTTAGATGAGCAGGTCACACACTTTTAGACATAAGGCAGACGCTGAACAGAATCTGATCCTGCAGCCCCTACTGCTAGCAAATACCATGCATTGCCTCTCTAACAGACTGTTGGGAAAACAACCCACCTGGTGGTGAATCCTGTAACTGTAATGCTAGCCACACAGATCAGGATTCTGACCCTGTGTAACCTTGGGAATAGGGATATGACCTTGGGAAATCAGATGACCTCTTTACATTGTGGTTTCATGTTCTTCATGCCGTTGTTATAAGAACGAAATGATATACAGCACACAAACTGCTGAAACTAGCACATTCATCTCCTAATGCACCAACGAGGGTTCTAAGAAATGACATCAGGCGCTATGTAATTTTTGCCCGTTGAGTACATGTCATCATCCCTCCCAACTGGGAAATCCTGCTAACTTCAGGGTTGGCTTTCTCCCCCAGCGACTTGTACACAGCCCATGGTCAAGATGCTGTGGCCATAACCAAACGACAAATTCCCAAACTGAGAAACATCTTCCTCCATGGGGCTAAGTTCCCAGGACTCAAGGACAAGCTGAGAGAACACTGCTGGTGAAACCCAGAAGATGGTCGGTCTCATGGTTTTCTGTGTCTAGAGGCACTGCCCACCATATGGTTACACCAGTGTAAGAAGATGCTGCGCATTTCCGGAAGCAGGAGAGCCTCATCCTCAACATAGCGCAGCTCTTGCAGCAGCCTCCTCGGCGGTGCGGACCTTGCTCCTACTCTCACTGCCTTCCAATGTGCATGTATGAAAACAGTTTCACAAGAATTGTTACTAATAACAGAAGATTGCAAAAAAGGCAGACCTCTTTCTCTCTAAGATCTCCACACAACTCAACTTATAGATTCTATCTACTGAGTGATTTGTATGAAATCAAACATGATGATTCCCTATATGGAAAACTGCAACAGCCATTTTTCTAATATTTGAAAAATGAATGTCAGTGTGAACTAATCTCAGTACAAATGATAGAAGTCAGTGGATGTCTAGTTTAAATGGACTATGCACTCCCCATTTTACAGGTAAATTTAAATAACACAACCTAGGGGAACATTCTACACAGGGTGCTTGGTGAAGGAGTTATGACAACGGTACCTTGTGACACTTGCAAACAATCTCTTTTTCTTCAACTGTTGTATTGATTAGGTAAGAAACGTAGACAAGAAACATTCTTGAACCTACTGTTCCACAGCGAACATATAATGTCTTTTCCAGCTGAAACAAAATCAGTGTTAGAATTTAAGTAATACTACAGACTTCCTTCTCTTACATACTCCAGGATAATTGTTCCACCTTTTAGACTGTACTATGTCTACTTTTTTATCCTCAACTTCTGGGTAAGTGTCATGGCACAGCATATTAAGCCTGTGGCTGAAGTACCAGCATCCCATATGGGCATCAGTTCAAGTCCTGGCTGCTTCACTTCTGATCCAACTCCCTGCTCATGGACCTGGGGAAACATCTTCAAGAAGATGACCCAGAAGAAGCTCCAGACTCCTGGCTTCTGACTGGCCGAGCTCCAACCACTGTGGCCATTTAGGGAATGAACCAGTGGTTGGAAGATCTCTGTCATTCCTTCTCTCTATGTAAATCTGTTCTTCAAATAAAAACAAATCCTTTAAAAAAAAATCACTTGCAACTTCTAAGGAACTGTTTCTATTTTGTTTGGAAACAGATGTTGATTTAGAGATTATTGCACTAACAGTTAATTTATGAGGCATCTAATTCTCCCAATTAGTCATTCATCCTAAAACTCCTTATACTAAAAACTTAACACAATCCATACACTTAAATAGGTAAACTGTGGATAGCGCATTCATCATGAACAGTCCTCGGGTATGCTACAGAAAGGCTCCACTAGAGCCTGAAACTACAAAAGCCTCATTTTCTCTCCAATCGCAGCAGGCCTGGCTCACCTGCTCGCCGGGATGGAGGTCTCCGACCGCAATGTCCGTGAGCAAAGCTGGGTAGGACTCATCGCACAGTTCTGTCCCGTGAAGGGTCACGTGGGTTTTCTGAGTTAAGTTGGCATCCTGTCCTAAAAGTGTTAACACTGGTGTTTTTGACATGTAGGAAATCCAATCATTATCCTAACAAACATCACTCCATGCAGAGTGCTATGTCACAGCAGTTTTTAGGCAAACATCCTCTAGTTGATTAAATTTAACTTTAAAAAAGAAAGGGAAAGAAGGCGAACGCTTGCCTGGCTTTAGCCCAGCAGTGAGCTTCACGTCTCTGATGTGGGTCTTCTCATGGGACTGAACAGTCACAACCAAACAGTACATCTCGTTAGCCAGGGCGGGAGGTTCGTGTTTCAGATGCACAGAAATGTTTGGAACTCTGGAAATGATCCTTGAGGGGAAAAAAAAAACTTCGGTAAGCAACAGAACCTTTAAGTACTACGGATAAAGCAAACAGGAAACAGCGGCACCTGGTGGGTGGGCAGGCTGAGCGCTGCCAACTTACATGGTGCTGGTCTGAATGACGATGCTGTCCCAGGGCACCTCGCGCCCCGGGAGCTTGGGCTGCCGCTTGAAGGACCGCGCAGCCTGCAAGGCTTCTTGAGTGGAGGCGGCATCTCCGCCTCCTCCCTGCCAGTTTAGAACCACGCAGCGGCCCGTCTCATTGCCCAGGACCAGATCCACCGACGTGATCTAACAGAGGAAGGGCTTGTCAGAAATGCCATCCATTCCTGTCACCATTCCCTCTCAGCAAAACCACACGTCGGCCGATGGGGTTCCTCCCGGCCCCGACTGCTAGCATAAGCCAGAACCACACTCTGGTGGGCCCCCCAGATTTCACCTGCTTCTGGCTGACTTCCTGGCTAACTTCCTGGCTAAGGTTCATAGGTTCACACAAATAGTTATGGGAATACTGGTGATACTATCTTAACGACACAAGCTCAGATTAGTTAACTATTTCCATTCAAAACATGGAAAGAGTTCATAGGCACATACTATGGGCTCATCACTGTTTCAAGTCATTTACACGGGCTGATTTAATCCTCCTAATAGCCTAGGAAATAGGTTGTATTAGCCCCACTTTACAGATGATTACACTGAGACATGGGGAGCCTCCCAAGCTGGTGCCTCCGGAGAGTGGCAATAGCATACTTTCACCACATGCTTCTAAGAGACAATTCAAGCAACTCAATTGTCTAAAAAAGGTTTACTTTAAAATATATATATATATATATATATATATGGGGTCTGCAATGTTGAAATATGCAAATATATTCTGGGTTATAATAAAAAAAGAATTGATCATATAGCATTAAACAAAATAAGGTAAGTCTTCTGTATTAACAGAAAATAATGTCTAATACACATACTATGTGAAAAAAGCCAACTATAGAGTATTATGTACAACACATTCTAAATTTTTTTAATTGGAAAAAAATTAAGTTATAAATACATTCATATAAAATGTATAGCAAGAAAACTACCAACTCTGAGGAAAGTCCAGGGGGAAATTTCATCTTTTCACTTGATACATTTCTACATTATTTACAATTTTATGACACAATCGTTTTACTTTTTGAACAAATCCCCCCCAAAACTGTTAAGAACAATGCATAACTAACCTCAATTTTCTTGCCTACATCTTCAGTTTTTGCAACAAACTTAAATAACAATTTTCTTGTTTTTCCAGGCACCAAGCACATTTTTCCTTGATTCAGATTTTCCAAAACTTCGCTTGCTTTAGATGCTTCTTCTATCACACAGAACTGGTTGTATTCCTGAAAGAGATAAGGTTCGCACTTTATAGACTGCACGGCCTGCTAAGCCAGCACTGAACATCAAGGGGCTGGAGCGCATTTACCTTCGACTCCACTAGCACCAATGCACTATCAAGGGTTACTAATAAAGGAAGATATTTTTATGCCAAACAGAGACATTCCAGAAGTCCCTGCTGCCCCAAGAGAAAAGGCAAGTTAACTGTACACAACTGACTTCAGCGAACCTTCGGTAGAGAGAGAAACGGAGTTCTAATCCTTGCGATACCAAATGCTGCGTCCACCTCCTTTCCTGGAAGCGCTTGCTTTGTACTGCACCTCTGGGGTATGAAAACACTTCCCATGTCTCACTCTCCTCTGGTGCTTCCTGTTTATCCCTCAAAGACCTCCTGCCCACTTTTTTGTCGTTGTTGCTTTGATTCACAGGGTCCACAAATTTCAATCCATGGTGCTCTTACTTCTTCTATTTAATATTCACTTCACTGGAAAGCTTATGCATATTTAAATATTCTGCACTCCTATGCTATTTTGTCTTTCACAAAAACTATCTAATTCTAGGGCCCGGCGCGGTGGCGCAAGTGGTTAAAGGTCCTCGCCTTGCATGCCCGGGATCCCATATGGGCGCCGGTTCTAATCCCGGCAGCCCCACTTCCCTTCCAGCTCCCTGCCTGTGGCCTGGGAAAGCAGTCGAGGACGGCCCAAAGCTTTGGGAACCTGCACCCGCGTGGGAGACCCGGAAGAGGCTCCTGGCTTCAGATCGGCATAACATCGGCCGTTGCGCTCACTTGGGGAGTGAATCATCGGACGGAAGATCTTCCTCTCTGTCTCTCCTCTCTGTATATCCGCCTTTCCAATGAAAAAATAATAAAAATAAATCTTTAAAAAAAAAAAACTATCTAATTCTATTCTATTGCCTTAACTATAAGTTTATAGCCACAGCTGTCCCCAAAATAAATGCAGGACCCCCCCAGATTCAGCACATCCTCACATGAATGTCCATTTGCCCTCCCAGGCAGCACACTCCAAGCAGATGAATTCATATGAAACCAACAAGATGTAAAATTCACTAAGCTCATGTTGCCCGGTTTAACACAAGTGAGGATAAGATACAGTAAGATACAGACACAGTGAAAACACATTAAAAGGTATCATTACCTGGTTATTAAAGCTGACACAGAGCTTAGAGAACCTAATGGGGTGTGGACAGTCGGCCTTCAGATAAATATCGAACTGAACAGGTACGTCAACATGAAAACTTGGAGCATGAAACTTGGCTTTGCACTGCACTGAAAATAAGACAAAAAGAGGGGCATCACACTAGATGCTTAACCCCACACTCACTGTCCTGTGAGCCACATCTGCTCTTCAGAAAAGGCACATCCACAGTGTCCACGCTTACTGACTTCTGTACAGTGAGGCATTTCACAGACACAAATGCAGCTCACTCAAATAAATTGTAACTTTTAAAGTTTCAGACTATCTTTAATTTTAAAAATCTAGCTGCCTCTGAAACACCAGTCAACAGTTTTCAAAGGAAAAGAACCATTTGTTACTAACTTGAGAATCCCAACCAATACATTAAAGCATAAATCTTTTTACTCTTTTTTTTTTTAATTGGAAAGGCAGATCTATAATGAGGAGAGATAGAGAGACAGGGAGAAAGACCTTCTGTTCGCCACAATAAGTGGCCATAACAGCCAGGGCTGAACCAATCCAAAGCTAGGAGCCAGGAGCCTCCTCGGGGTCTCCCACACAGGTGCAGGGTCCCAAGGCCTTGGGCCATCCCCTTCTGCTTTCCCAGGCCACAAGCCTAGATGGGAAGTGGAACAGCTGGAACATGAACTGGTGCCCATATGGGATCCCGAGCATGCAAGGAAAGGATTTAGCCACTAGGCTATGGTGCCAAGCCCAACATAAATCTTAAATAATCAGCTTTTTAAATATCTTTCAAATAACACCTGTATACAAATGAACAAAGTATGTCTTAAGACATAAATCAAGTTTGTTTTTAAAAAATTTTAATATCTTGGGCCCGGCACGGTGGCCTGGCGGCTAAAGTCCTTGCCTTGGGCGCACCGGGATTCCATATGGTCACAGGTTCTAATCCCAGCAGCCCTGCTTCCCATCCAGCTCCCTGCTTGTGGCCTGGGAAAGCAGTCAAGGACAGCCCAAAACCTTGGGACCCTGCGCCTGCGTGGGAGACCCGGAAGAGCTCCGGGCTTCCTGCTTTGGATCCGCACAGTACTGGCTGTTGTGGTCACTTGGGGCGTGAGTCATTGGATGGAAGATCTTCCTCTCTGTCTCTCCTTCTCTCTGTATATCTGACATTGCAATAAAAATAAGTTAATCTAAAAAAAAAAAAAGATTTTGATTCTTTATATCAGTAAGCAGAAGGAAAAAGCATACTTTTGAAAAGGTTGAACTGTTTCAGACTTCGGATAGTTTGAATTCTGGAGAATTTGTATATATTCACACATATATATACAGAATAAGTGAGAAATCTTGGAAGGTGAATCAAAATCTAAGCACAAAATTCGTTTATGTTTCATATACCCATTAGACACACAGCCTAAAGGTAATTTTATACAGCATGCAGCATTTTTTCTTTCTTTCTCTCTCTCTCTCTCTCTCTCTTTTTTTTTTTTTTTTTTTGTAGACAGAAAAGTTTATTTGCGAAGGGACCAGGTGAGCAGGGAAGGGAGAGGGAAGGGGAAGCACCTCCGGAGAGGAAGCCGGGAGAGGGGGTGCCTCTCGAAAGGGGAAGGAGAGAGACACCCAGCATGCAGTATTATTAATATTTGTAGACTCTTCACTTACGGCATCAAATCACAGGCCTAAAGTTCAAATTTTTGAGTGCTTAGGATTTCAGATTATTACTCTGCACATTTATTTGGTAGAAATCAGGATTTCTCTGAAATCACACTGTAGATGCTTGGCAACTTACCAAATGGCACAAAGTCCTGCACTCCTATGGTGAACACATTGCTGCCAGCCAGAGACACTCGGTCCGCCCACAGCTTCTGGGCAGTTGTCACTGCCAAAATATCACAGTCGGGCTCAGGATCAGGACTTTCATTCTGCACCAAGGGAAAATGAAACATTCATTCAACCGGATGGAAAAGCTACACACACACACACACAAATACATAGATTCCTACAACACATTATAGATAAAGAATTCCAACCTACCATTAAAACATTTATGAGGTTCTTTTCTATCCTGGATTTCTGGTCGTCCTTCAGAGTTGAAGCTAATATGAAGAAGAAAGGGAAAGAATGAGACCCTGAAAACAAGTCAGTCAATCAACTTCATGCAAAGTTTCAAAAACATTAAAGAATAAATGCCTCCTCTAGAGCTAACTAGGCCCAGTGAGCTGTGCACAGCAAAGCTGCTGTCAAATACCTGAGACTGTATTATTCTTTAAATTTTGACAAGCTTGCAGAGTGCTAAATGGTTAAATGGACTGAGATTTTACTGACGGAAGAGCAAGCTACCTCTTCCCAGGAGCTCCAGGGAGTAGGCGATGTAGTCCTTGAGCTGGGCCATGAGGTAGGAGCACTTCAGAGCTGTGGTCAGTATAGACGTGAGGAGAGTCCACCACCCTTCACTCCGATAGTCACACATCACATAATCCAGCAACCTGAAAGAATGAAACGGGAGGCCGACTAAGACGGCTGTGCCAGAAAGAGCCCAGGAGGTCCTGGAGAAAAATCGAACATTCGTATCTTATCAAAAAAGAATATCTTACTAAGATAATTTAACATTTAGCTAAACATGAAGTGTTCTAAAACTTTGGAAAACACGGGGCCAGCAGATGGCACCTGAAAAGACCAGCAGAGATAACTTCATAGAAATAATAAATCCTGGGCCTAGAGTAATAGCCTAGTGGCTAAATCCTTGCCTTGCATCCAGCAGGATCCCATACGGGTGCCAGTTTATATCCCGGATGCTCCACGTCCCAGCCAGCTCCTTGCCAGGAAAAGCAGTGGGGGATGGTCCAAAGCCTTGCGACCCTGCACCTAAGTAGGACACCTGGAAGAAGCTCCTGGCTCCTAGTTTCAGATTGGCTTAGCTCTGGCCGTTGAGGCCACTTGAAGAGTGAACCAGCAGATGGAACATCTTTCTCTGTCTCCTTCTCCCTGTAAATCTGACTTTCCAATAGAAATAAATAAAATCTTTTTTTTTTAAGATTTAATTATTTATTGGAAAGTCAGATATACAGAGAGGAGGAGAGACAGAGGGGAAGATCTTCCGTCCGATGATTCACTCCCCAAGTGAGCGCAACGGCCGATGCTATGCCAATCTGAAGCCAGGATCCAGGAACTTCTTCTGGGTCTCCCACGCGGGTGCAGGGTCCCAAAGCTTTGGGCCGTCCTCGACTGCTTTCCCAGGCCACAAGCAGGGAGCTGGATGGGAAGTGGAGCTGCTGGGATTAGACCCGGCGCCCATATGGGATCCCGGGCACGTTCAAGGCTAGGACTTTAGCTGCTAGGCCACGCCGCCGGGCCCAAGAATAAGTAAATCTTAAAAAAAAAAAAAAGAAATTCCTTTGATAGGAATATCTATTTTAATTTCACCGTAATCAGAATACTTCAAAAAACTCACTTCAAAGCTTTTGTGTAATCCTTCGCATAGTAATATTCTTCTCCCATCTGAACCACTATAAAGAAAAGAAGAATTACGTGCATAACTGGAAAAGGCTCAGAGTTACACAGCACTGCGGCACGTTGGGATACATACTTAGATGACTCTTCATCCTGGGGCACTTGTACTTCTTGAATTGTGCAACGGCATTGCTCAGAAGACTTATTATGAGTTCCTGTTAGAAAAGATCATATATGAGCTATTTCGATATAAACCATCTCCTATTTGCCATCAGGACTGTAAAAACTAGTCTACGTTGGAGGAACAAAGCATCTTACGGAGTGAACAACGCTTCTCTCCTTCAGCTGAATGGCAAGAACACCAACCTTCTCCTTTTCAGGATCAGAAAGATCCAAACCTGTATAAGACAAGACACAACCCATGTTAGGACGATCATCTAACAAAAGTCTTCACGTGACTACGGTATGTGTATGCTCCTTGAATCCTTTACTATGGTGTAGTTAAGCTTCTTGAACATTCTAGAACCTTAGAGACTGTAAGAAACAGCTTTATTAACACGGAAACGTCTGTGTGATCTCTGATTTAAGAGAACACTACTGAGCTCAATGATTTGGGTTGTTAACAGATGAGCAGTTGCTTCTTCAAATTTTATTTGAAAGTCAGAGTTACTAAGAGAGAGAGACAGAGAAAGAGAGATCTTTCATTTGCATGTTCACTCCCTAGATGGCCACAACAGCCAGGGCTGGGCCTAGAGCCAGGAGCTTCTTCCAGGTCTCCCAGATACCTGGGGACATTTCTGCTTTTCCCAGGCCAATAACAGGGAGCTGGATCAAAAGTAGAGCAGCCAGCGATACCACAATGCTGGCCTCTCTAACGGAATCAAGCATCTGAATAAAGAGTAGTATCAACAGTCTCTAGAGAAAATAAAAAATTCCTGAAGATTGCATTTCTTATTATTTAAATTTCATTTGCCACTGATATTTCTCAAATTTTTTACAGAATAGAAAAAAAATGGAAAAGCTAGACAAAAACATGGGAGAACTACTTCAGGACATTTTTTAGATCACACTCCCAAAAGCACAAAAATAAAAATAATATTAGCCAAACGATATTTCATCAAACTAAAGATCTTCCACATAGCAAAGAGATAACTTACAAAATGGGAGAAAATACTTGCAAGCTATACATCTGGCAAAGGCTCAATAACCAATGTATATAAGGAAGTCAAGTTAATAATAAGAAACAACAACAACGAAGAAATAAATACTGCAAGTAAAAAATGAGCAACAGATTCAAATATCTGTTTTTCAAAGAAAGACATCCAATGGCCAACAGATACACAGAAAAACACACAGCATCAATAATCACAAGGGAAATGCAAATCAAAACCTTAAGGAGATAGCACTGAAGAGTATATAAACAAAAAGGAACAAGCATTGCAAAGAATGTGGAGAAAGCTAATTCTTTCACACTGTAGACAGGAAGGCAAATTAGTAAACCAATGTTGAAAACAGTACAGAGGTTCCTCCAAAAACTACAAGGAGAACTACCACATAATCTAGCATTCCCACTACCGAGTATATATCCAAAGTAAAATCACTACATCAAAAACACAGCTGCATAGCCGTGCCTCCCGCAGCACTAGCCAGAGTGGCCAACAAATGGAAACAACCTGAGTGCCCATCGACTGATAAATGGAGAAAGGAAATGCGCTATATAGAAATGATGGAATACTATTCAGCCATAAAAAAGAAAGGAATCTTGTCACGGCAGTATCACTGACAGGACTGGAGGTCATGATGGTAAGTGAACAAGCCAAGCACAGAAAAACAAAAACCAGAGAATCTCATTCCCATATGGATTTTTTTTTAAAGCTGATTTTATAAATAAATAAATATATATTATATAATAAATAAATAAATAAATATAATGGTATATATAAATATATATATATATAATGGTAGTTACAAGAAGGTAAAGAACCTATGGAAAAGATGGATGAAATGATGCATGTTTAAAGAGACAGACACATTTATCTTGACTGGACACACCATAGTATCAACACGTCTTGAAACATCACAAGATATCCCATTAAAACGGACAATTTTGTGTTCATTAATTTTTTTTTTTTTTATTAAAAAGAACCAAAGTGGAGGCAGGGTACAAGATGCAGAGAATTTGTTTCTAAAAGTTATATAAGTTGAGCCTGGAGCGATAGCCTAGTGGTTAAAGTCCTTGGCTTGCAAGCACCAGCATCCCATATGGTGGCGGCCAGTTCATATACCTGCAACACCAACTTCCCATCCAGCTCCCTGCCTATGGCCTGGGAAAGCAGTCAAGGACAGCCCAAAGCCTTGGGACCCTGCGCCCACATGGGAGACCCAGAAGAAGCTCCTGGCTTCAGATCGGCTCAGCTCTGACCATTCTGGCCACTTAGGGAGTGAATCAGTGGACAGAAGTTCTTGTTCTCTGTCTCTCCTCCTCTCTGTATGTTTGTCTGCCTTTCCAATAAAAATAAATAAATCTTTTTTTATTTTTAAAAAGTTATACAAGTTAGGGTGGGCATGGTGGCCTGGCTACTCCCTTTCAGATCTAGTTTCTTGCCTGGGAAGCAGCTGATAGTTCAAGCATTTCAATGCCTAAAAACCCATACGGAGCTCCTGGCTCCTGGCCCCTGCTCCTGGCTCCTGGCCCCTGGCTCCTGGCCCCTGCTCTGGCTCCTGGCTCCTGGCCCTGGCGCCTGGCGCCTGGCTCCTGGCGCCTGGCTCCTGGGCTCCTGCCTCCTGGCCCCTGGCTCCTGCCTCCTGCCAGGTTCAGCCCTGGCTCCTGGCTCCTGGCCCCTGGCTCCTGCCTCCTACCTCCTGGCCCCTGGCTCCTGGCCCCTGGCTCCTGGCTCCTGGCTCCTGACAGGCTCAGCCCTGGCTGTTGTAGATATTTGAGGAAATAACCAGGAGCTATCACTCTTTCAAATAAATAAGTAAGTACAATCTTAAAAATAAATTGATACAAGCTAATGCTGTTTTAAAACATCAAATAAACCATTTTTAAAGTTAACCAGACATAAAATATTTGAATAACAGCACCTTACTACTTGTGTCATGGAAGATGGTCAAATGTTTTTACTTATTAAATATTTATATTACAGGAATATCTTAAATTATATAGCTATTTTAAGAGACAGTATACCAACTAAACATACTAAGAAATAAGAAACTGCAAATCTTACAAAAATATTTAAAGAACACACATTTTTACTTTGGCATAACTTTTCCATTGGCTTCATGAAACCTATGAAATTATGACAGCTATCTTTGCCTTTTAAATTTAAAAGAAAAGTGGGCAAGAAAAAATTATTTACTTAGTATTCCTTGTCGCCATGGTCTCTGTCCATAAAAGTCAAGAACACCTGTTTGTGTTTCTAAGGGATCAGGGTTGGGATACATTACAGAAGCCTGTAAATTAAAACACAAATCTAAGTCAGAGTTAATGTAATCCATTACAAGTCAACTCTTGTCTAATATTTGGCTGGATTAAAAAACATTCTTAAATATAAACACTGAATACATTCAAATATAGTTCTGGAGACGGAGGTTAGCCCAGCAGTTAAGACACCTCCATTCCACGTCAAACACCTGGGTTTGACACCCAACTCTGGCTCTGACCCCAGCTTCTACTAATGTAGCTCCATGGGAGTCAGGGGTGAAGACTCAAGTAACTGGGTTACCGCCACCCAAGTGGGAGATGTAGACTGAGGTCTCAGCTCCCAGTTTTGACCCGGCCCAGTCCTGACCAGTGAGGGTATTTGAGGAGTGAACCAAGAGATGAGAGCTTTCTCTGGTGACCTGTTTGTCCATCTCTTAAATAAAGTGAATAAAAATTACCTACTTCTGGTTATTTTACGAATGAATTGTACCAAACACAGTTTCATTTAATATTTAGTTAATCTTATAAAAATGGAAATCAATTTGATCAGAAGAAAATTTTTGAGAGGCAGAGATAAAGAGAGCGTGAGCCTGAGAGCTTCCCTCTATTGCTTCACTCTCCCAGATACCTCTAACAGCCCCAGGCAAGGCCGGGCTGAAGCCACGAACCAGGAACTCAATCCTGGCCTCTCACACGACCAGAAAGGATCCAACGCACTGCCCCTGGGGTCTGCATTAGCAGGAAGCTGGAATCAGGTAAAGGTACTGGGATATAGAACACAGGTGTCTGAACCACTAAGCCAAGCACCTGCCCCAAATCAGTCTGATTATGAAAAATGATTCATAATTAACTTCTTAGCTTTTTTTTTAATCTCTACTACAATAAACTATTAACAATGTAATTCAGATTATGTTGGTTATTTATTCCTTAAGTACAAGCTCTCTTTGTGTAAATGAAAAGTATGTTGTAATGCATTTTCAGGAAAAGACACGATTTTCTTACTACAGCACTTCTACACCAAATCCTGGTAAGAAGAAGGAGGGCACTTTAGCCCCAGCTGCAACAAATTAACACTGTTTTACTTTTCCTCTTTATACCTTTTTCCCGCTATAAAATATAAGAACATTACAGAAAAATACAAAAATACCCAAAGGAAAACGACAAAAGGACTTGTAAACCTATCGCCACCACTACTACAACTATTACTTCTAAAATGTCTCTGATTCTTCCAGAGTTTGTGTGCAAAAATTTCTATGGATTGAAATAACTTTTCAACCTGTTTTCATTTGAATACATACTATACATTTCACAGTATCATTAAGTGTTCTTCTAAAATATTTTTAAGATTGCCTGCTATTCTATTCTAACAATTTTCTTTATTCATCCTATCTCTAATTAATGTTATAATTATAAGTCTATGAGAATTACTTTATAAGCAAATCTTGGCACTATTTCTTAGGTTCTACTCTCTACCTTAGTACTAGTAATATAAAATTTCTTTTTAAAAGATGTGCCTGGTTTTAAGAAAAGGGCAAACTGAAAATTCAAGTAGTAAATCCAAGCAGATTCTTCAGTATTCCAGAATGGGAATTTTGGGGAAGAGAACAAAGTCAAAAGTTCTTCTTACTGGTGAGCCAGACAAGAATATCTTCTAGTCTTCTCCCAATCCTACAGCAGTGATCATGAAAACAAAACCACGGATTTATAGTGGTAATGACTGTCACTTTCATATTAATTTTGTCTTTTCAAAAATCATTAATTCAGGGTGGGTGTTGGGATGCAGAAGGTTAGGCTATCATTTGGGCCAATCTCACCCCATATCAGAATGTCAGTAGGAATCACAGATACTCTGCTTCTGATCCAACTTCCTGCCAATGTGGCTGGGCAAGCAGCAGATGGCTGGTGAATTCCTGCGATCCACAATGAAAAACCCAAAGGGAGCTGCTGGATCCTGGCTTCAGCCTGACCCAGAGCTGGCTGCTGTAGCCATCTGGGGAGAGAACTAAACATGAAAGAACTCCTCATGGCTGCTTGTTTCACTCTGCCTTTCAAATAAATAAATAAGTCATTTAAAAATCATTAACCTATTGCCAGTCATAGTTTAGTTCTCAGAAAACCTTTCGCCTAGCTTTTGCTCACGGGTTAAATGCAATGCTCACAAGGAAACAAAATAATCAGGATTCCAAAAACTTATGAACAATAAAACAACATTACATTCAAAGACTTGCAAAATAACAAAAAAATGATTAAGACCAATTGGTCCTGGCTTCTTTGAAGAGAAGATGAACACATTCCCTAAACTCTAAATATTGGAAAATCTCGGACTTACGTCATGGTTACAGAGAGTTTTCGCTAGCTCTTTCCGTTCTTGGGCATAGTATGCTGCCTGCTGGTAATAGAAACCAGGATTCTGAGTTTGAATTGCCGTTAGCCCTAACTTAATAGCTTCATCAAATAAGTCTCCAAATGCTTGGAATCTTAAAGAAAAAAAAAAAGGAAAATAATAAAGATTGAAAAGAAAAAGGAGAGAAAATGAACGCCATTTCTAGTAATCATTCATCCTGGGAACAATAACTTCAGCAAACTGTATGAAAATAATGCCATTAACAGCAATTGTTATAATTTCTTTGTATATATTAGTACACACTAATTTTAGGTTACAGCTTCAAGTAAACTCTGTATTTAAGTCATTTCCCCATGCTAATAAGTCTGCATGGATATACCATTGAGCACATTCTTCAAGTTTCTAGAAACAAGTTCAGTTTAGCAGTTGCTAAGGACAGGGATTTCATTTTGTTTACTATTATATTTTCATGTTTAGGCACAGGGTAGAAACTCGATACACATGTTGAATGACAAAAAAGGTGTCATCACGTAACTGATTTCTGTGAAAAAACTTTAAGAATCAACATGAACTATCACTGGAAGCATACTCATGCTCTATACATTGAAGCAGACCTACTGACATGACATTTAGTACAGTTAAAACCAAACTCTACGCTGATTGTACTTCTCCCAAAATCCCATGCGTTATTTTTGAAAAACATTGTAAAAGTACAAGTGAAAACATACTGTTTAGACATCCACGCAGCATGCTCAAAAGCCAACTCCGCACTTCCTATCTTTTTCTTACACAGGTCAATGTGCTTTCGGAACTGTGCGATTGCATCCAACGGGGTGTTATGTTGAAAACACAGCCTGCAGATCTGCAAAATGTCAAAATGACCTGAATTAAAATGGAAATAACACATGTTCATTTAAAAATATGGAAGGGGTTGAGAATAAATTAATAAAAAGATTATGCGATTTCCTTCTCTGGAGTTCTTTTCAACAGAATTGATTTTCTCCAACAGAATAATTTATATTAAAACTGAAGCTTATATCCCTTTGACAAATGAAATAAAATGATTCAGTATTTGTATTGAGTTTATTTCCACACCCGGGAAAAGCCCTCCACTAAAACAGAATGGAATTTTAAAAATCACACACAAAAGATAACATAAGAGTTAAAGTACCTCTAAAACGTAAATGCAAAGGGAATGATTAACTTTGAGTTTTGGAATTGTCAGAAAACTAGACATTTTCTGTAGCACAATTAAGACACAATTACCTCTACAGTAAACAAGAATTCTAGAAAGTTATAAAAAAAAACACCTTCAATCTAGGATGTAATTTCAAAACAGTAATAATCTGCATGGGAAGGGATCCTCAAAAAGTGACAGAAAACGTACATCATAGGAAAAACTAGCAAAGATTTCAAAGTTGTTTTGCACCAAAGTAAACATTTTAAAAATTCTACTTTGCATAGATTTTTGAAGTACCTTCTAGACGTACTTGGAATAAAAGGAAAAGCAGAAACAAAGTATAAATACATTTCATATGATTATTAAAGTTTTCCAGTTTAGTTTTCAGGTACAAAAAAAAATATATGAAAATTAAGTCTTGCCCCTCCCTGTTCGTCACCCATCTAACTTCTCTTTCCAGAAAACACTGGTTTCTGGCTTATGCTTTCTGATAAATTTTAATATGTACACAAGTATGTGTGTGCATTTATACAGCAAACACTACGTTTTTATTCAAGCATCTTTAAGTATGGTGACTTTTGTTTTGTTTTGTTTTTTTTACCTGGCAATATATCCTGGATCTCATTTCATATCAATCTGTAGTTAGAACATTCTTATTATAACTAGCTGTGTAACATGTCACTGTTTCTAGTTTTATAACCGCTAAGTAATTGCTGGGGACTGTTTCCAATCTCTTCCCAGGAGACGATGTAATAAATACCTACCTATATGTGATTTGTTAGATTTAGAATACACGTAAGATAAAAAGGAATTGTTGGGTTGAAGGGAAGATTCATTTTAAATGTAGATTGCAAAATACTCTACAGAAGTGCAACAATTTACACTCATGTCAATGATGTCCTAAAAAATCTATCTGCGCAAAAATCATCAACCCAGTGCAAAGCATCTTTCAGAAGATAAGGGTATCACACTGCAGTGCCCATTCAAGCCCTGCCTACTTCATGTTTCTAATCCATCTTCCCCCTAATGACCCAGGGAAAACAGCAGATGACGGCCCAAGTGTTAGGAATTTTCACCACAAACCCAAACGTCAGATGGCAGTGAGTCATACAGGAGGTCTTTATTCCAGTGAGAAAGGTGGCCACAGGGAAGAGAGAAAAAAGAGAATTTTTTTTAGTTTAAATAGAGGGGCTTATTAATCAGGGGAGAGAGATGGAGCCTGTCAAACTACTGTCTGGTGGGAGATAGCCCAGGACCACTTTCAACTGACAGAGTGACCCATGAGAGAAATGGCTGCCCAGAGTATTTAGCACTGGGCTTTTGTGCATCTCATGCGTGGGGAAAGGGGAAGGTAGCAGCCCCTCAACTTGTGCCTACTTATGAGGTGTCATCAAGGTGGGTGTTGGCCTTCTGTGCAGACTCAGCCTTTCAAATATTCCCGGATGAGAGCGTCTGATTGACTTCAGTAAAGCTAGCATTGAGGCTAGGGACCCATTCTGCTGCTTGGTGTTCCAAGGCTACCAGGAGGTCCTGGCTTGTGATAAGCTTCCTTGTCCTTTGATGTACTCAGCTCCATCCACAGCCACTTCTGCTCAACGCAATCTGACACCAAGTGCTGGCGCTGCTGCCACTAGTGAGCAAGATCCAGATGGAGCTCCTGGCTCACGGCTTTGGCCTGCACTAACCTTGGTTGTTGTGGGATTTAGGGAGTGAACCAGCTGATGGAAGCTCTTTCTCCCTGTCTCTCCCTTCCTCTGTCATTCTGACTTCCAAATAAATAAGATAAAATCTTCACCCCCTCCCAAAAAAAAGAAAGGAAAAAAATAAGAGCTAAACAGGGAGCCCTCACTTGTTTTCCAGGAACTTCTAATTTTATTGTATATGATCTTAATATACTCAAACAATAGATTAAAAAAAATTCTTCTGAGATGAACACACACACACACAGCTTCTCTACGGCTGCACCACTGAATCAAAGATGCTTCATGTAATTCACATAGGTTGTGTCTCCTAAAATTCATTAACACAGGCAGGTTTCTTCTCATTCCCTCTGTTTCTACTGAACAAAAACCCTTCTAACTCTAGAACCCATAAGCTCAAAACCCAACAATTACAATTAGGATGCTAAGTACACAGGCTTCTCTGGAGAGAAGAGATATAATGAGTTAAGTGACAATTTTTCAGAGCTAGAAAATAATTTTGGTTTACAAATTTTAAAATGAAAATTTAATATTTAAAGGCATATTCACTTTATTTGGAAGTAAAATGCTTACCTTGTAGTTTATAAATCCCGCCATAGTCTTGATTTCCAGAATATTTGTTTCATGGGCTCTCAATTCATGCACAAGATTATAAGCGGTTCTGTAATTCCTAATGTCAACATGGAGAGGGTGATTCATTACGATAGATATCAATTTTAAGAAAAGATCCCTAAGAATAAAAAGTTATTTTAAAGGACAAAGACAAGACTAACATTGCTTAACATTCAAGATTTCAATGTGACATATAAATACCAATCTCCAATTTTCTAAAAAATAATCTAGCGATAAGGAACAGAATGGGGAGCAGTCAATGACCTTCCACGAAGACCATGACTCAAGCGTGTGTACAGTCCTTTGTCATTAACAAATTTGTCAATCACTTATAGCAAATAAAGTAGAAACAGAAAAAACTGGATAACTGCCAATTGCATTGAAAAATGAACATTCAGTAAAAAAATAAAGAAGCTTTCTTTTTTTAAAAATACCATTACAAGTTAATCAAAAAACAAACAAAAGAGAAATTGCATTAGCAAAGATACTGTCAAAACAGAGCATCCCCAGCCATTTTGTCCATTTGAGGACTGAACCAGTAGAAGGAAGATCCCGTTCCTTCTCTCCTTGTCTCTCTATAAAATCTACGTTTTCAAATAAAATAAAAATAAATCTTTACCAAAAAAAAAAGGGGGGGGGCATCTATCAACAACTTTTTGACCCCAAGTGCCTCACAGGCCAAGTGGCTATGCCCAGACTCATGCAGAGGCTGGAGAGAATGAACAAGTCTTCAGTGTAGCAGGTGCTGAAGGAGACAGGTGACAGAGGGAGGTTTGGTAGGATCTGGGCCCTCCCCAGCAACAAAAGGGAAAAAGACAGTCTCAAAACAGGCTCCTCTTTAAGGAAAAACAATTTTTTTCCAAACAAATTTATTCCTTACCAGAATTATTTTTATTTTTTAATTTGAAATTCCAGATTTCTAACATCACCAATGAAAATGAACCGCACTGAAGTCACCTATAATTGTGTGAAGTCATTGAGACTGAGAGAACAATTCACTGCTTAGCACCTCAACAACAGAAAAGTCCCACAGTATACCTGTAATTAACAAAATTATTCTCTTTTACCTCTATTCTTCTCTCCCTCTTCGATTTTAAGTTAAATATCTGGGTGTTTTTATTTATTTTTTTTTTCATTCTTTTGTCACACTGCCATTGTTAGTCTTCAAAATTTGAGTTTAAAGCTATAAGGAGATCATGTCTTTTCAAATGCACTTAGTGCAAAGGAATAAAACGCTTAACCACTGCCGACACATCTACAACTGGACAATGATGCTACTAACTAGGTCTTACACACTCAAAAAATTAAAGCTTTATTCAAAAAGAAAAAACAACAAATAACAAAAAAAGAAAAAGCAAAAAAACTAAAGCTTTATTCAATTAGACTGAATAAATGTACAGTAAACTTTAAAAAATTCATAGCATGACTCAGATAGTATAGTTTATATTAAACTAGATATTAGTCTCATAACAGAAGAGATTTTAGTTTTTATACAAAATACCAGCAGAGATGAGGAAATTTTTTACATATACATATATTTTTATATTTGTGTAGATCATGAAAATTAAGTTAGTAAGATCAATGCTTTATGACACTATGGAATTTATTTTCAATGATAAAATAATTTTTTTAATCCCAAAATACTATGCTACTCTAATTTCTGGACAAACTAAATATTAACATCTGAAACTTAACAGCATAATTGTCTTAAAATTAATTCAATTTTGACTGAAATCCTGACATTCCCATTAACACTATTGCTGACATTAAGGAAGTTTATTTTGTTACTGTTAACAAACTTACTTCAGAGCATTTTGTGTGTCTTGCTTCAATTCACTGAAGAAAGCTATTTTGAACTGATGTCTAACAAATAAAAGCTGAAAAAAAATAGAAAAAAAATCATTATTGTTGTACGCATTTTCTTGAGAGGAAAATCATGTGTCTTCAGGAGAGACACAAAAGTATGAATGAAAATACTCAAAATTAAAGGTTAAAAATTATACTGATAATTGGGGCAGGCATGTGGCCTACTGCTTCAAATGCCCACATCCCCTGTCAGTGTTTGAATCCGAATTCCACCTCCACTCTAACTGTAGCTTCTGCTAACGCACGCCCTGACAGGTAGTAGCTCAAGTTGTTGGGTCTCTTCCGCCTATATGGGGAGACCGAGATTGACCTGGCCTAATCCTGGCTTTTGTGGGCACTGGAGAGAAGAACCAGCAAATGGAAACTCTCCTCTCTCAAACTTAAAAAAAAAAAAAAATTTAAAAATTCTAATAAGGATATAATTAGGATATAATTATCTTTAGGAATTTTAAGGGAGTCCTAACAAACCATCTTCTTCCCATTTCCAAGTGCCTGGGTTCAAGGTGAAGCTCTGCCTGTAATTCCAGCCTCCTGTTGATGTGCAAGTACTGCTGGGAAGCCCAGATCTAGTTCCACTCCTGGCTTCAACCTGACCCAGTCCCAGCTGTGGCAGGCATCTGGGGTGTGAACCTCTCTGACTCTTTCTCACTTTTACAATATAAATAAACAAAACAAAACAACACGTACCTGGTGTGTTGTTTTATTCAGAAATTCTTTATGAGATTTCACTCTTCTGATTTCAGTGTAGTAGTAAGTCTGTGCATGTTCATAAAAGGCATTTTCTAACCTGCAAACAAAAACATCATCCTAACAGTAGTCTATTTTTTCAGCCAAATTGCTTGTGAGACCTGAAAGATTCTGACAGATAATGTCTCTTTTACCTCATGATTAAGATAAAAAAAAAAGCAAATTGTAATTATTCCAGGTAGAAAGTCTAAAACCAAGACCAGCCAAAAGCCATTTAAAACTATTCATAAAACACAACTGATAAAAATAACCTTCTCTTATTCATCAGAACTAGGTGACCTCTACCATTTGATAATTTTATAAGTTTGAAAAAAAATTCAATACTCACTTAGATTTTACTATTTTGTGGTTTTTAACATTTAGGATTTAATAGGATACAAAATTAAGCAGGTAAAGAATTAAAAATGAAAACTGACAAATCAGGTAGAAATATCATATATATGTGACTTAAATCTGGTCTCTAAAAATTCTAAGTTTGAGTTACACAGCAGCAAATAAAATTTGACCAGTTACACCAGTTCCAGTCCTGGCTGCTCTGCTTCTGCTGCAGCCCCCTGCTAATGCTTGTACGAAAGCCAAAGACGGTACAGGTGCTTGGGTCCCTAAACCCATGAGGGAGACCCAGGCTGAGTGCCACTTCCTCGGTTTCAGCTTGGCCAGAGTCTGAGCCCTTTCAGGCCATCTGAGGAAGTAAACCAGCAAATAGTCTCTCTATCCTCTCTGTAACTAGGCTTTAGAATAAATGAAATAAATCTTAAACAAAAAAATATATAAAATGAAAGCAACTTTCCTTTGAATTTTGAAAACCACATAACAGGCAAAAATGCTAATACAACTTGAAGAACAGAAGAACTAACTCCCTATGTTTGAAAGGAAACGAAAAGTCAAATTCTGCTTCAGTGCTGTGCCATCCATCAAAATGCCTGCAGCAGATTCAATTCATTACGGAAAAGCAAGGAAGAGAGATCCAAAACCTAAGCTTATGGATCTGTATGCTGCATAATTTTTTTTTTTGGATTTTTAATAGAGTTCAAACTCATTGACACTCTGTTTAAAATAGTTTTAAACCAGTTCTAAAAACTGTTTCTGGGTCTGGTACAATGGTTCAAGGGACTAAATATTTGCCTTACAAGTCCCAGGATCCCAAGTGAGCGCCAATTCATGTCCTGGCTGCTTCCCATCCAACTCCCATCCAACTCCCTACTTGTGACCTGAGAAAGCAGTGGAGCACCTATGTGGGAGACCTGGAAGAAGCTCCTGGCTCCTGGCTTTGGATTGGCACAGCTCTGGCCATTGCCGCCACTTGGGGAGCGAGCCAGCAAATGGAAGGTCTTTCTCTCTGCCTTTCCAGTAAAAAAAAAAAAAATTTTTTTTTAAATTTTAAAAAAGAAGTTGCACCTTGCCTCTCGTGTATGCATGGCAGCACTAAATGTGAAAGCTGAGGGGGACGGGGGACAGGACACTAACAATAACAGTTAGGGTTATCACCCTGACAGCACCCATATTTTGCACCAGTAAACTCTATTGAGTGGGGTCCTGCAGTCACTGATATCCCTGCCTATGCCTACTACATGCCAGCACAGAAGTGCCCTCAGTCATGGCCACTAGGAATGCCTTTGTGCATTACTGGATGTTCCCTGGAGGGAAACACTGCCCTGGGTAAGACTCACTCAGTCATGGCATTTGAAAGAAGGCTTCATGGCAACCAAGCCTCAGAAGGTGAGTTAAGAAAAAGCCCACATAAGGGGAACTAGAAGGCACAAGCTGGTGTGAAACCACACTGCAGCAAGTAGCACTGTCCACAGGGGGGCACTGTAGGGTCAAGTGCAAGGCTGAATGGTCAAAGCCTGCAAGGGTAGCCAAAGGCCAGCAGGGAGGCTGGGAGGGCCCTTCCTGGAACAGGCTGCAGCCTGGGAGAGTGCCAGTTACCTACACAGTTAGCTCTAAGTTTTGCATCTACAGATTCAGCCCAGTTTGGGTGAAAATGTTTGGAACCAGAAAAGCTGTCAGTACTAAGCATGTACAGACTCAAGGGCATTTCAAGATCACAGAAAATGCCTTGTGGGGGGTGAGCCCAGGGTGTGATGGCTTAAAAGGCTAATCCTCTGACTGCAAGCTTTGAGATCTGGTGTGGGCTCCAGTTTGTGTCCTGGCTGCTCCACTTCCCATCCACCTCCCTTCTTGGCCTGGGAAAGCAGCAGAGGTAGCCCAAAGCCTTGGAAACCTACACCTGCATGGGAAATCTGGAAAAAGCTCCTGGCTCCTGGCTTCGGACTGGTTCAGTTCTGGCAAACGCAGCCACTTGGGGAGTTACCCAGCATACAGAAGATCTTTTTCTCTGTCTCTCCTCTCTGTATATCTGCTTTTTCAATAAAAATTTTAAAGGGCATTTATCTATTATCCATTATAATATTTGACTTTTTCTCATTAACATGTTTTGCCTTTTTTTAAAAAAAATACAAGAGTGAAAAAAAATACAGGAATCTAAGATTATCAATTTCTCACTTGCTAATGAACAACCTACAAGCAACTCGAACCAACCTTTGCTTACCTTATAATATAACCCACCAGGTGGTCAGTGTGGGGGAGGACAAACAGAGACTTCCCTGAGAGTTCACAGGCATTGCACAAAGCCGCAGCCCGTTCGGAAGCAACGACATCTTCTCCTGTGGATGAGCCCCAGGGAGCAAAGAGAGAAGTAAGTCATATGCTTTTTGACCTCACTATTTTCCCAAATGTGGAATTGGGAATAAAACCTGAAGCCCCTTTTCATCACACCAGAATGACCTCCTGGCTCTCTGGGAGCACTGAGGGGTTTCTAACAGCTACCCTGTACAGATGTGTTAAGATGTGTTAGGAATACCTTCTTCTTGGCCAACTAATGCCAACAGCCACCCCAGGCAACTATTTCAAAAAAATCGTAAGTGAACCTGTGAGCAGTGAATCACAAATGTTACCCAAAACCATTTGGGATAATGCAAGTTTCAATCAAGAACCAAAAAATATACATTTTGGCTTACAAAAAAAAAAATCAGCAAAGGCAGAAGAAAAAAGCATTTGAAAGAAAGCATCTTCCCAAAGAAAATGATCGATCTTAAGTGTTCTTCTCAGCACAGTGAAGGTCATTTCACACAGGACTTAGGTAAGAAACTAACATTCTTGTTTTAAAAATCACATAAATGGGGCTGGTACTATGGCACAGCTGGTAAAGCTGTCTTCTATAATGCTAACATCCATACAGACACTGGTTCCAAGTCTTGTCTGCTCCACTTCTGATCCAGCTCCCTCTTAATGTGCCTTGGAAAGCAGCGGGAAACGACCCAAGTCCATGGGGCCCCTGCAACTATGCAAAAGACCCAGACGAAGCTCCTGGCTTCAGACCAATCCAGCTCTGATCACTGAGATCGTCTGGGGAGTGAACCAGTGTATGGAAGATCCCTTTCCTCTCCCACTCTGTCTAGGCTTCTCTCTAAAACTCTGCATTTCAAACAGATAAAAAAATTTAAAAAAAAAGTGAACAAGTGAATGAACTGTTTTATCAGTGGATATATGCTTGCATGGGGAGCTAAGTGGATTGGAGGAATGGGACATGGGAAGATCAGTAGCCATAAAAGAAATATTTTTACAATGAGCATGTATCTGTGCATTATTGGTATTTTAGTGGTTCAAATTATCAGATCCATAACTGAATGCATAACAGATTTAAACATTAAAAAGAAAAAACCAACACCTGGTAATAAGCCAGGTATAAAGTAATTAATAAACTAATCATACGGTACCTGGGGGCAAAGGAGTTTTCTTCTGAATCAGAACCACTGCAACTTTTGTGTTTCTTCCTTGTAAACTTTGCCTACAATGAAAAAACAAAATTAGCTGGCAAATTGCCTTAACTAGATGTATTCAAGGTTTTACATAAAACACGAGCTTGATAATTCAGCTGAAGACATTTCAGATAAAAACACAGAGAAATCAACTTCTTACACATAAAAATTATGCATGTCACAATGTTTTAGATATTAAAGTGTATTTTTACATCAAGCTGCCAAATCATTACAAAATAACTCAAACTGAGATAGTGGGACAAAGAGATAAATTAGCACAAGTCCAAAAAAATCTAAAAAGCAAAAACAAAGTTGGAAATGCAAACGATATTTGTCTTGCAAATGTCTTCACATATCCTGGCATTACATATAGTTCATGTTTGTATTACATGATATGAGCTGAACAGGTTTCCCTGGTCAGCAACCATCCCCGAGGTGGCCCTGGGCTAGTCTAGGCAGCACACACTCAGCTGGCTGGAACACAGGTTGGAAAATGAGAGACGAGCACAGCTAACCCAGGGAGCCTAGTCCACAGAGCTAATCGTACCTGACGATTTCCACTCTGGTCGCACACTCCGACTGCTTCTCCTTCCACTGTGGTTCATCCCAGTCCAGTTCATAGAACACAACCACCAGGGCAGGCACTAGATTCAGATGCTTATTCATCCAGCCGGTCTTCAAGATCCCTTTAGGAATGTACCACTCATACGAAGTTCTCTGCTAGCAGTGGCACAAGTGAGAGTAAAAGCAGCAGAAGCCGTCTGTTACCGAGTGCCAGGCACTTTATAGGCATATAACTTAACGAACATACACACCACCCGTTTTCAAAAGGAGGAAATTCAGGCTTGCAGAGATGAAATAAAGAGGCTTGCCAAGGACTGGAAGTCCTTTTTTTTTTTTTTTTAAGATCTTAATTGCTGAGTCAGATATACACAGAGGAGGACAGAGAGGAAGATCTTCCATCCAATGATTCACTCCCCAAGTGATCGCAACGGCTGGAGCTGCACAGATCCGAAGCCAGGAGCCAGGAGCTTCTTTTGGGTCTCCCACATGGGTGCAAGGGCCCAAGGCTTTGGGCCATCCTCGACTGTTTCCCCAGGCCATAAGCAGGGAGTTGGATGGGAAGCAGGACTGCCAGGATTAGAACCAGTGCCCATATGGGATCCCAGCACATTTAAGGCAAGGACTGTAGCCACTAGGCCACTGCACCTGGCCCTAGAATCTTAATTTTTTAGAGGCACTATATTTCCCCATTTGAAGAATTACAAAAACCAAAGAATTTCTCACAAATATTAAGGCTTTCAAAAATCTTGTGAAAAAGCACCCATTTGTTTCTAGGTAAATTCTACTTCTACTTGGGTCCTGCCTCCCAGCTGGGGTGACGAGGATGGAGTTCCTGGCTTTTAACTTCCGTCTGTGCCAGCCCCGGCTGTTGTAGCCTTTTGAGACGTGAACTAGAGAACAGATAGTACCTCTGTCTCCCTCTCTGGCTTTCTGTAACTCTGCTATTAAATAAAAAAGGGGGATGGTGCTGTGCCTCTAAATAAAAAGGGGGGGCAGTGTAATGGTATAGAAGGCTGAACCTCTGCCTGTGGGCCCAATATCCCGTATCAGTGTTGGTTCAAGTCCTAGCTGCTTCATTTCTGATCCAGCTCCCTGCTTATGGTCTTGGAAAGCAGTACAGGACAGCTTGAGTACTTGAGACTTTGCACTCACGTGGGAGACATGGAAGAAACTCCTGGTTCCCTGCTTTGGGTGCCCTCAGCTCTGGCAGTTGCAGCCATTTCAGGAGTGAATCAGCACATGAAAGACCTCTCTCTTCCTGTAACTCTTTCTCTCTGTAGCTCTGCCTTTCAAATAACAATGAAACAAATTGTGAAAAGAAAGGAAAAAAAGAAAGAAACAAACAAACAAACAGAAGGCCCTGGAGTGTGAGGGCGCTGTCACTTGCACAGTAACCATGTGAACTAACAGTTTCTAGGACTGGATCTGTCAGACTGTGTCTCCAGGGTGTGGTTCTCAAACACCCATGCACAATCACGACCTGGTGGCCAAATCCTGGTTTGCATCCTCTCCTCCCAGAGCTTTCCTCAGGAGACCTGACTTCCACATCAACAGTCAAGGTCACAGTTACACATTCAAGGCTCAGAGAAAATTCTATCAGACACATTGTTCTAGGGCAAAAAAACAAAACGGCCATTTTACATGGGGGGTTGAATCTTGATCAATGCATCGTGTTACCCTTCAAACCAACTTCATAAGTTTATAATTACAATTCAGTCATTATACATAGATCATTTAAAATAGAAAATATCACATAGTAGGTGCCATATGGGTATTAGCTGCTATTATTAGTACTATCATCATTGCAATTATTCTTTTCCTTTTTTCTTAAAGATTTATTCATTTTTGTTGGAAAGGCATATTTAGAGAGAGAGAAAAGGAGATACAGAAAGATCTTTCGTCCGTTGGCTCATTGCCCAAGTGACCACAATGGCCAGAGCTAAGCCTATCCGAAGCCAGGAGCCAGGAGCTTCTTCTGGGTCTCCCACAAGGGTGCAGGGTCCCAAGGTTTTGGACTGACTTCCACTGCTTTCCCAAGTCACAAGTGGGGAGCTAGAAGGGAAGCAGAGCAGCTGGTACACAAACTGGTATCCATAAAACATCCTGGGTATACAAGGTGAGGATTTAGCCACTGAGCCATCCTGCCGGGCCCTACATTTATTTCTTTTTTTAAAGGTAATCTGGAGTCTCTGCTATGTTGGTCTTTATAAGAATCAGGTTTGAACTTAATGCCATTTCTCATTCACTACTCTAGTTTATGCATTACTTCCAAAGGACATCAAGCAAGTCTGATTAAAATCACCAACTTGTTGCATGATTCCAGGTACCTAACAGAAAGCAAGCATTCAAAAGTTATATATGACACAAAGTATAAAGACTATAGATTCTATACTGATATTGGTCACAGGGAATGGGGAATGTGAGACCTTCCTTTTAGACTTTGTAGAAATAGAGGGGAAAGCAATTGCTTCTCAGTCTTTTGGCTAAGATCAAGTGTGAGCAAGACTCAAAGAATGAAAATCTGTTGAAAGCATTCCTCTGGGGATGGGACCAGCAGGGTGGCATAGCAGGTTAAGTTGTCTTCTGTCCCATATGGGTGCCAGCTGGAGTCCCAGCAGCTCCACTTCTGATCCAGCTCCCTGTTGATGCACCTGGGAGAGCCACTGAAGATGGCAACTGCTTGGCCTCCTACCATGTAAAAGACCCAGAAGAAGCCTCTGGCTCTTGGCTTCAACCTGGCCATAGCAACTACTGGGAAGTGAATCAGCAGATGTTAAGATTTCTGTGTTTCTCTTTCTCTCTGTCTGCAATTCTGCCTTCCAAATAAACAGATACATAAATATATATATTTTTAATTGTTACTAAACATACATGACCCTAAGGTTTTCTTTCTATACCATTGTAACCACTGCCTTGATAAACTTGGGTTTCCCAGCACAGACAACAGTTACAAAAACGGCAGACTCACACATGAGGGAGAGAGGGAACCCACGCAATCACAATGTCATTACCTTAGGTCTACACTTGGGATACTCATGGTCACCTGGGAGCACCTTGAAAGAAATCGGCACTCGGTCTGCTCTCCGATTGGCACAGAAGGCATCCCAGACAGCCCGATGCACAGCATTATACACGACATCCAAGCCCGTCAGAGTCACAAAAGCCATAGGCCGGCAACACAGTTCTACAGGGAAGTCCCACTGTGTGGGGCTCATGGTGAAGCGTCATGAAACAGCTGAAACACAAAGGTCAACACATTCATAAGATTCTTCCAAACCCGTCTTTCTAATATGTGAACTCTACTCTTTTTTTTTAGCACTCAGTGTTGGGTTTATTGGCAAGATGTCACATAAGTAGCATTTTCTCCTGTTTCTGAAACTTCATTTTTAAAAAATTACAAAAAGTCAAAAAGTCTTGAGTATTTACATCTACATGCTGGAAATATGGGGGGAAACAGAAAGGACACATAAAACTTTAAATCAATGCATTCAAGAAGAATAAAATACTGCAGAAATAATGTTCAACTCTTTACCAGTTCCACTAGAAAGAAAAAGGTGAAATTCATTTTAACAGTACTCTGTGTGCTTGGGGGCCTGTCATATCATCAATAACATTGAAATGATCAATGTGCGGCACTAAATCTTCACGTTCTGGTATGTACTTTGCTCACAGAACATCTCAATCTGGACTATTTCAGATGCCCAAAAGCCACTCCAAACTGGCAAATCTGTCCCAAAATTACCACACAAAAACTGTTACTGGAAGTTTTGCCTCATTCAACTTTAAAAGCCTTGGCACTTAAAAGTCCATGCAAAACTGAAACCAGTAAGGTAAAAATCAGAGATCCACTGAAGGTGTCCCTGTGACAAGCTGGGAAAGGGAAACTTCCGGATCTCCAACGGGAAGCTACAAACCCAACTACGACAAGGAGGTGCAGAAGCGAGCATTTTGGGAGGAGACGTGCAGTGGAAGTCGGCGTGGAAGATGGAGACCCGAGTGACAAGGAGAATAATTATAATAAGGCTACCATAATTACCTGGAGGTTCGGGGTGGAGGATTGGTCTACTAACAATGAGATTCTGAGATGTCCAGCTGCACAAGGATCAAACGAGGAGTTGCTTGATTATTTTAAAAAATAAAACGAAAGGGCTGATGTTGGGGTGGCGGAGCAGGGTAAGATTCTACCCCCATGGTTGTAGCATTCTGCCCCGGGTTAGCGCCTGTGAGGGAAGGTGGATACAGAGTAGAGACCAGAATAGACCAAGTGTCTCTCAGCCCGCCCCATTACGTCCGAGGCGCAAGTGCTGCCTTAGATGAACAGGTGTCTTTGGGAAAGGGGCTGGAAGAGACATTCCCGGACGGCAACCCTCGACCCACAGGAAAACACAAGGCCCTAAAACCAACCCTGACAGGAGCCAGCTCTTCCTACGGGGCCAGACTCACCCAGGCCGCGAGCCCCGAGGCCCCGCTGCAGCCGCGGCCGATCGCCGCCAGGCAAGGCGAGCAGGGCTGTCACAGAACGCAGGGACCTGTCCCCACAGCCTCGGTGAGCCCCAGCCTCCCGGCAGCCGAAGCCTCTCGCTCCCCACCTCCGCTGACACAGGAAGCACTCTCCTGGACCTGAGTGACAGCTCCTTACGCCAATCGCGATCCGAGAGCCTGCCGCGGCTCTCCAAACCCGGAGGGGCGGGGAGCCGTCCCGTTCCTATCCGAGACAGAGTCGGGGGCGGAGATGCAAGGAGCCAATTGGGAAAAGGAGAGAGGGGCAGGAGGCGGAGCCCCGCCGTTACCGCCCCGCCGCCGCTCCTCAGACTCGGCTCTACCCGCCTGGCCGGCCTGCCGCTCCCGGGAGCACGGCCCCTTCGCCCATCGCCGGCCACTCGGGGCGTGCGGGCGCCCGGGCTTTGGGAAGCGGGACGTCCCCGAGCCTCGCGGCCATTGCCCTTGCTTTTTCTTCGTAGTGGCCAACGCCGGCAGCCTGAAAGGGCCCCGCGACTGACACGATGAGCGCCAACGAGGACCAAGAGGTGAGCTACCCTCTCCGGCCTGGACGCCCCTGTGACCCGCGCCGGCGCTCAGCCGCAGCCAGCCCCGCAGGAGGGTCACTGGGCGGCCCGGGATCCGCACGTGCCTCGCGCTCAGAGCCTAGCCGGCGTGACCCAAGTTCAGCAGGGCGGTGTCAGAGAGGTCAGGCACGCGTGGAGAGGGCACGGTACGCCTCCGCCCCTTCCTCTCCCTGCATCTTTCCTGTTTGCTCACCTGAAAGGAGAGGACAGTCGCTGCAGGTTTCCTGGATGACGAGCATGACTGAGTGTCCTTGGGTACCCGATCCAGGTATCCTGAGTTGTGCAATCCGAGAAAACTGTTGACTGGTAGACAGCTTAGCGGAGTTTCTGGTGGAAGGAAAGAATGTCTCGAGTCTCTGGTTTGCATCTCGGCTGCTGTAGGAAGTCATTGGTCCACGTTGGCAGATGCATGGTACACCTCAGGATCTCAGGATGGTAGGGTTGGTGCTGGCATGCTCCAAGTCACGCCGAGGGGAACCTTCTAGCTTTGTAAAGTTTGAAAGTGGAGGGATTGCACAGCGAAGAATCGGGAACCTGACCCGATATCTCCTTGTGTAGTAGCTCCCGGCTCACTTGAACCTTAGCACTGTCAGGCACAACTTAAGTAACAGTCTCTGGATTGGACATTAGCTTTAGAAGGCCCAAAATTCAACAGGCAAGTTGGCACCTGAATTCCTTCTAAAACAGTCTTGCCTGGTGAGTTTCTCAACCAGGCATGAATGATTTTGCCTCCCTGCAATGCACAGAGCATACAGAGTAAATGTCTAAACGTTGAACCCATAGGACTAGTTTTCCATGATTGGTTTTAAAAAACAGATACGGGCACTGCACCCCACTCCTTTTGAGTCAGGATTTGGGGGCCATGGGGCAAGAATTCATTTCCCAATGACTGATTTCCAGATCTTGGGGACAGTTTTTCTGCCCAGGGTCATCATCTTGACCAAGTTGTTCCTTTAGCCTATTCATGGGCCTGTTCTCCCCACATTCCTTTACCATCCTGGAATCAGGTTAGTGGACAGATTCAAAGCTGTGTCCTCTTGTCAAATCATTTCAGAACACCCCTTTATGCAGTCAAGTTCATTGTGCACTAAAGTCCTACCGGCTCTTTTTAGAAAGCGATTTGTTTTTCATTCTCTACTTGTGTATTTAAGTATCTAAGCACTGGTTCTTCGACTTCACCCAGTTTAATTTCATTAATCGCTGGTTTTTAAGTTCTTCATTCTGCCGCCAGCATGATTCACTATCCCATCAAATTGTCCTTGACAAATTTAATAAGCCTGTCTCTTATTTCTATTCCTGTCTGGCTCCTTAATTAAGATACTCCTCCAGGAGGAGTAGCAGTGTGCTTCGGTTGTTCCAGTCTGATCTTCTCAGCCATTGAGTCCAGTTTGAGTTCCTGGGTTTTACTTTGTAAAGGTGCCAAGAGAAGCTCGGGGATCTCTGCTGAGGTCTCTATCGACTGAGTGTCCTTCTTCTAATTTCCCTCTGCTAGAAGAGTTACTGAGATACAGGTAGCCTATTCTGACTAAGTGTTAGGGATTGTTTAGTGATCTGCCACTTCTAAAATTTGGTCCCTGTGGCTCAGTCAGCACCCCTGTTTTGTACATTTTGTGATATGCCTCTTCTTCAAAAGCAGCACCTGTACAGAAGGCATTGTTCTCACATTTGTCAGTGGTCACGTGGTGCTTGAGATGCAGTTGTTGGTAAACCTACTGCAAGAAGTATTCCCAGGCAGGGTTACCTAGCTACCTTTGCTGTTGCAGTACCTTCTCCTACCTTGAGCAGATCCTTGCTAATCTTTCTCTGAAAGTTTGTTTAGATTTTTAACAGTTATTATTGTTTGGTTTGGTTTGGCTTTTGAAGTTGAATATCATACCATGGGAAGGATTTCAGATACACTAATGTATGTATTAATGGGAAATTCTTACCCTTCATATGTTCATCAACCAGGTCAGAGCTCTTTCTGCCCCTGGCTACTTGCTCTTCAGCAGATTGATAAGCGCACATGCTGGATTTGCTTTAAATGAAACTTTATTTTCTCCTCCCTACCAGGGAAGATGATATGACAATTATCATATGGCAGTTATCATTCATAGGATGGATATGACAACTAAATGAGATGACACAATGTAAAGCACCTAGCAGAGCCTGACACCGTTTTTTAGAAAGTTTCAATAGTAATCATTGTGGTACACAATTGTCCTGCGCGGGTCAGCCTATGTAAATTAGCTGGGTTCTTCGTGATTGAGTAGTCTGGAGCCAGAAACCCCACATCATCTATTTCTATCCCATTCCTGCCACTACAAAAAAACTCACTCATTTGTTTCTTTCAGATGGAACTAGAAGCATTGCGTTCTATTTACGAAGGAGATGAAAGCTTCCGGGAATTAAGTCCAGTTTCATTTCAGTACAGGGTAAGACATGTCTTGAGGGAGAGCCTTAACTCTTTGCTAGAAAAGACTGAAGCTCACTGAAATCTGGTTCTTACTTTTAAATTTAGTGGTTTAAGTGTACTCTGTTTGTATTTTCTGAAGCATTTAAATGAAACTCATCAACCACAGCACTTAACTATTTTGGTTAACATTTGGAAGCTCAATTCAGAAATGTTTTAAAAACCAAGATAAACTTGTTTTTATGGTGAAACAATCATAGAAATGTTGGAAATGGGAAAAAAAAAAAAACCTTGGAAATTGAGTGATTTTACTGCCTTGAAGTTGGTTCTGCCAGCCTCGGCTTCCTTAGCTCCTGTGGTTAATCCTGAGACTTAACAGGATTAAAATCCAGGTCTGTGTTCCAAGTCTAGTGTTCTTTTCAACCACCCTATACATAATCAAGAAAAGCTAACATTTTTATATGATATTAACATAGATATAGTATTAAAACTTGGTAAGTCTAAATTTCAGACCTGTGTAATTTTTATTTGTGTGAAATGTAGATTTGCTTTAAAATGAGAGTTGCGCATGACTATCTTCAATATAACAGTACCAGTATTTTACTTTGTAAATGAAGAACACAACGCATATGTCGAATGACTTATCCAAATGATTATAAGCTGTAGTGAAATGAGAAAGTGTTTTTGTGAAAGGTTTATGGTTGTCACAAACATTGTCACTGTTTTATGAGAAATGATGCTGAACTATGACATACTGTAGACTGTCACAGAAAATGAACTTACTTGGGATCCTCTGGCTACACTCTTTGTAACATCTTCATATTGAAAACGACCAAGGGAGTTTTCATAGTCAAAGTTAGTGATGGGGTTAAATCCAGGGCCCTTGTCTTTGAACCCAGCTGCCTCCCTGCACTTTGCATGTCGCTGCCCCTTAGCCCAGAAGAAGTTGAGAACATTCCTTTACTTTCTAAATGTTTCTGTTTGCAGCAGTGGTTACTGAGCCCCGCAGACAGAGTACTCTCGGACATGTGTATGTGCTGTAGGATGGACCCACTTATACAGCCCCTGGGATGCATTTCAGAGACCAGGGGTAGCGTGATGACCATCAACACGGAGCAGGGTTCTCTGCCTGTGCTAGGCAGTCCTCGTCCCTCTGCTGCAGATAAGATTAGCAGACTTCTAAATGACTTCCTACTAGTTCTTTGGCTTCTCCTTACACTCCATCATTAATCTTCCAACAGACTATTAATTCATTCTCTGAGACAATGCAGGAGTCACCCCATTGTCTTGCTTTGTTTTATTTGTTAATGTTTTCTATCTTTAAATACAGCAGACGTTTTTTAGAGAAAATATTTATTTTTATTCAAAAGGCAGATTTCACCGAGAGAAGGAGGGACTAAGAGAAAGATCATCCATCTGCTGGTTCACTCCCCAACTGGCTACAATGTCTGCAACTGAGCTGATCCAAAAGCCAGGAGCCGGGAGCTTTTCCCAGGTCTCCCTTGTAGATGCAGGGTCCCAAGACTTGAACAATCCCCCACTACTTTCTCAGTACGTAAGCGTAAAGCTGAATCAGAAATGGAGCAACCAGGACCCCAAACAGCATCCAAAGAAGATGCTGGCATTATAGGTGGAAGATTAGTCTCTCTGCCACCACTACTATCTCTCCCTCCCAGAATGTCTTAATTTTAAAAGAGTCTCAAAAAAAAACTTTTTTTTTAAAAGAGTCTCATTAACTTCCTCTTGCCCTGAGAACAAGGACTGTATTCCTTAGCTGGACACTTAGGAGGACTCTTTGTTTTGAACTGTCTCTCCAAGCTTTCCCAGCTGCTGGCATCCGTCAAACTTAATGGATTGTTAAATACCTTCTTTGAGGGAGGTTGTTTGTTTAGTACTCTCACTCTTCCCTTCTTAGCAATCATCCATCCTATTTTTTCTTTAGGCCTAAACCAAGCATCCTCTGAGGCATATTAAGCCCATAACTCCTGACTTTGAAACAAAATTCATTATCCCCGTTTTTAACTTAGTTGTGTGTGTGTGTGTGTGTGTTTGCTGTTCTATAGCAATTGACTTGCTGCATGGAGCTGATAATAACACGCATGGACTACTGACTGGTGGGCAATAGGTGAAGTTTATTAGTGGCATTAGGCTTTTGTAAACTAAGGGTCACATAGGATAAGGGAAGAGGTATTGAGGAGCTTATGTAGTTCCCGTAAGCCTGTCTATGGAACCCATCACTTGTTTCCTGCAGTCTTGTGTGAAAGTATCTCTTTTAAGATTTATTTATTTATTTAAAAACAGAGAGTTGGGGGTCGGGACTCGCAGGGAAGGGACAGCGAAGGAGAGAGAGAGCTTTTATCAGCTGGATCCAAATGCTGCCAATAGCCATGGCTGGGTCAGACTGAAATCAGGGGCCAGGTAGTCTCCCAGATGGATAGCGAGGACCATCACATGCATTTTCCCAGGATGCATGTTAGGAGGAAGTAGAATAGGAAGTAGAACCAGGACTTGAACTCAGGTACTTCAGATGTGAGATGAGTGTATCAAATGGTCTCCTAATCTCTAAGCGTACACTTTTCCTGTTCTGTCAGTTTTGAACCATTCCTGTTCCCGCAGTTTAGTGACTCATCTAAAGGTACCTTGCGCAACGTGAGACACATGGCAGTTTGTTCCTACATGTAAGCACCTAGTGACTACATAAAGCAGATGAACGCCTTCACTTTTTATTATCTCATTTAGTTAAAACGTGACCCTAAACTGATAACATCAGTTTTATAAGTAATTAATTCAAAACAGATGTAGCAACAGGTCCTAAAGCAGCTGGATGTGAGTTCTGGGACTCAACTATGTTAGCTGGAATGTAATGCTGGTAAGAGGATGTGGATGAAAAATCAGCGCACAGAAAATAAAAGAAAATCAAGTACTAACTTGGAGTAAAAGGTTTATAAATACTTTTTAAAATCTTTTTTACTTATTTTTATTGGAAAGGCAGATTTACAGAGCAAAGAAGAGACAGAGAGAAATATCTTTTGTCTTCTAGTTCACTCCCCCAAGAAGCTGCAGCAGCCGGAGCTCAGCTGATCTGAAGCCAGGAGCCAGGAACTTCTGAGTCTCCCACGTTGGTGCAGGGTCTCAAGGTTTTGGGCCGTCCTCTACTGCTTTCCTGGGCCACAAGCAGGGTTCTGGGTGGGAAGTGGAGCAGCCAGGACACAAGCCAGCACTCACATGGGATCCCAGTGGTTGCAAAGTAAACAATTTAACCACTAGGCTACCACACCAGGACCTTTTAAAATACTTTTATAAACAAAGCAGCACATACACTAAAAATAAGATGGGATTAGCATAACTCTATGCATGGAAGAGAATCTGATTCATGAATCATTCCACAGTATTACTAAGAAATCACCACTGTGCAACCTCCAATGTAATAATTCCTGGATGCTAACATTAAGTGAAAGGTGCTGAGGAACAAGGTAGTCACACCGTTTCGTAGTACTACTTTAAGATTACTTATTAACTACAAAATAAAAGGGTCCCTTAATTGAGTAATCAAACTCAGTATCACCAACAATGATTGTAAAAGATATCCTGTGCCTTCTGTAATAAGCATCCATTTCACACAGGTGCTGTGATGGTGTGCTACATCACCTGTGTTAGTGTCCTTACCAAAAGCATTTAGTTGGAATCTTTTTTTTAAAAAAAAAAAATGTATTTGAAGGGGAGAGTGACAGAGACTTAGCCTTTTCATCTGCTATTTCACTCCCAAATGGCCCCAGTAGCCAGGGCTAGGCCAGGCCAAAGCCAAAAACTCAGAGCTCCCTTTGCATCTCACATGTGGGTGGCAGGGACCCAGGTACTTGGGCTGTCCTCTGCTGCTTTCCCAGATGCGTTAGCAAGGAGCTGAAAGAAACTTGCACTCCAATATGGAGGATGCTAGCATTGCAGTGGCAGTTTAGCCCACTCAGCATGGGGTCCCTTAATTGGTATCATAACCGCAGAAACCATCCAACATTATAGATCAGAAGTGGCCTGGATTCTTTTTGTCATAAAGGCAACTTAAAATCAGAGAAGAATGTTGGGAACCCTTGTTTTAGAGCAGAATAAAGAAGAATGAGAACTAAATGCAATCTGTAATCCCTACAGGCTATGGATTTGTGATTAGTGATAATGTCTATTAAAAGGATGCTTTAGCAGAGGCAGCATTATGGCACAGCTGGTTAAGCTTCTACCTATGACACTAACATTCTAGGTAAGCGCTGGTTCTTCCAGCTCCCTGCTAATGTACCTGGGTAAACAGCATCAGATGGCGCTAAGGCCTGGGCCACTGGCAACCACCTGGGGAGACCTGGTTGAAGTTCCAAACTCTGGCTCAATCAATCAGGCTTTTGTGGCCGTTTGAGGAGTGAACCAGTGGGTGTAAGATGTATATTTTACATCAAGCTCATCCTCCACCCTGTCACACCAGTATTCCATCTGGGTGCCAGTTTGTGTCCTGACTGCTCCACTTTTCATCCAACTCCCTATTTGTGACCTGGAAAGGCGGTAGAGTATGGCCCAAAGCTGCTTTAAATAAATGTCAACAGGTAAGTCACATTTTGGGGTGCCTTCATCTCAAATTGGAATGCCTCATCTTGAGTCATGGCTACCCCACTCTGACCAAGCTTCCATTAACATGCGTTCCAGGAGGCATCAGAGGATGACTCCATTACTTCAGTCCCTGGTCCACAGCACAGGAGCCTAGGAGAGTTCCTGGAGCCTAGCTTTGGTCTGACCCAACTCTAGCTGTTGTAGCCATTTGGTAAAGGAATCAATGAAAGGAAAGTCTCTCTTCACCTGTACCTCTCTCTCTGTCTCTATGCCTTTCTAATAAAATGGTAATTTAAAAAATTCAAAAAGCCTATGAGAACTAGAATTTAAATTGTTTTTGCATATGATTGAAGAATTTTTAATATGCAGTATGGATCAGATAACATATCAATGTTGAATTTGAATATGATGAGGGTCTTGTGATTTTAAAGGATAATTTGCCAGTAAATATTTGCTGGCATTTCATTATTTTAATCATTCATCAAAAAAAAAAAAAAAGACAAAGAGTGGGGGGAATAAAACACACATGTTGAAGGAATAGGGGTTGGCTCTTTGATGGAAAGAGAAGATTCAAATATATGGAATATCTGATGAATAAGATGATTTGTGTATTTATTTATTTATTTATTTTGAAGGCTGAATCAATGTTTAGTGTAAAGAAGCATACCTGATAGACAGGTAGGCATTTCAGCAAAGAACTGAGAGCCCACTAGGCCTTCAGACTAGAATGTTTTGTGTTTGTGCATGAGCCCTCTCACTCTTCCATCTGCTGGTTCACTGCCCAAGTGGCCACAGTGGCTGGAACTGAGCCAATCCCAAGCCAGGAGCCAGGAGCTTCTTCTGGGTCTCCCACATGGGTTCAGGGTCCCAAGGCTTTGGGCTGTCCTCCACTGCTTTCCCAGGCCACAAGCAGGGAGCTCGATGGGAAGTGGAACAGCCAGGATACAAACCAGTGCCATATAGGATCCCGGCACACGCAAGGCAAGGACTTTAGTCCTTGTGGCAGGCCCAGTTTACTTATTCTTTTTTTTATTAATTAATTCATTTTTTCTTTTTCCATATAGACTGGGATCCCCCGCCCCGCCATACTCCCACCCCCCTGACAGATTTTCTCCATTTTACTATAATTGTGTAGTCCTTCATAAGGAATCATAATTCCATCAGTCTCTTATTTGAGTGTACTATTAAGTTTACTTATTCTTATGCCAGTTGTGGTTTAGCAGTTGGAAGATTTAAGGCAGACAGGGTGTTTCATTTGTGTGGATTATTGGTTTTGTCCATTCTCTTCCTGACCCTGTAGTTGATGTCTTATCTTCATTCTCAGAAAACTGATAAAAAACAAAAACATAGGTATAGTGTAGCCCTGGGGTAGGAAACTTGATGGGCCGGTTGCAGAGTGGGGCTTATGGACACACACAAAAAACTGCCACCTGGGCGGGCCAGGGCTGCATTACACTTCCCTTATCCTGCTCCATGTAGGCTGACTTTTCCACTTGTGGCATGTCTGTTAGAGCATGAATGTTAGAATGAGTCAGTTAAAAGATTATCAAGTTGTTACTCTGTTATCACTTTCTACAAGCCTAAGATTTCCCTTTTCTTCAGATAGGTGAAAATGACGATCCCAAAGCCTTCTTAATAGAGATTTCCTGGACAGAAACCTATCCCCAAACACCTCCAATTATATCCATGAATGCTTTCTTTAACAACACCATGTGAGTAGTGTTTGGCTTTCTTCGTTTTCTGCAGTGGATTCTGTGTTGTACTCTTCTGTTAGTGAAATGTCAGTTGTGCCTTTGCAGATCATCAGCTGTGAAGCAGAGTATATTGGCCAAGTTGCAGGAAGCAGTCGAGGTGAACCTGGGCACCGCCATGACCTATACGTTGTTTGAATATGCCAAGGACAACAAAGAACAGTTCATGGAGAACCATCATCCCATCACTTCCACTGTGAGTATGGAGGCGCTCTTCCTTCGCCACATTCTTCCGTTGTTTGGATTTTGTCCTGCGTGTAATTAGTTTCTAACTTGCTAAGGTTTTTTTGAAACTTGGAAAGAAACTTTGTTAGATTGACATAGTTAGATCTGAGTTAAATAAGAACAATGCATTTCTAGATTTCCTACATTTAACCTGAAAATGAACTTAATATCCTCCAGATTTCTACCTTTTATCAGTGGCTGGAATACTTTGGGCACCTGCTGAACTAACATGTGGTAGAACACAATGTTATTTGAGTTAGTTTCTACCGAATTCTTGGATAGCTAAAGATGTATTAAGTAGTGCTAAAATATGTGTGGGGTTGCTTTTCCATGAGGCTTACTCTGTTGTAAGTAGTGTTACAGCTTCAGAAGCCTTGACTAAATGGGAAAATATATTTAACTTTTACGATCATTCTAGAAAAGAATCCTCGTTTATGACCTTAAACATGTATATATGAGACCCGTTTGTAACAAGACATGCGCAAAAAGACCTTTAGCGGTCGGTGTGAACTGAGTCTGTGCGCTGATCCACACCATAAGCTTTTGGCAACAAAGGTTGTTTCTTCTGCATTTGGGTTGTTCTGGCTTCTACTTTCCCAGTGGACACAAAAGAGGAACCCTAAAAAGGAACTGGAGGGGCAGAGGAGGGCAGTAGCTACCACTGGGCTTGAGCCAGTCCTCCTAGGTTCATGTTCTCACCGTGCACTACACAGTAACAGTGGTGTGGGCCTGGTTTCTTTCATCTGTGCTCAGTTCCTCACCAGGAAACTGGGGTTCAGTAATAATTACCACCGAAGTTTATAGTAAGTATCGGGAAAGTGACATGGAGACCATTCACAGCAATGTTTGACATCGAGTAAGCATTTTAAATTGTAGCCATCATAAATGCTACTCAAACCTAAATGTTTTAAAGATGTTCTTCAGGGAACCAGGATAATTCTAGGTAGGTACATGTGATTTTTCAGAAGATGTGTTTACACATCCAAATAATAGCAAGTTAAGTTATAAAGTGACCTTGGAACCTCCCATCTTCTTTCTCAGGATTCTGATAACAGTAGTTATAGTAGTATTATGTCCTTTTATTTTTATTGGAAAATAGACAGATATGGAGAAGGAGACACAGAGAAAAAGATCTCCCATTTGTCTGCTAGTTCACTCTTCAAGTGGCCGCATCAGTGCAGCTAAGCCAGTCAGAATCAGGAGCCAGGAGCCTCTTCTGGGTCTCCCACATGGGTGCAAGGTCACAAGGCTTTGGGCCATCCTCTACTGCTTTCTCAGGCCACAGGCAGGGAGCTGGATGGGAAGTGGAGCTGCCGGGATTAGAACTGGCACCCATATGGGTTGCTGGCACATGCAAGGCAAGGACTTTAGCCACTCAGCTACTTCACCAGGCCTGTATTATAAACTTTGATATGAACTTTTAGAAGAGTGAAACTAATAATGTGTTAACATCACTTTTAATTCAGAATAGCAATAATAATATAGGGCTCTTCTATTTCACAGGTCTTCAAAGTTGACAACTCATTGCAAAATTTAGCGACATTTACCATAACTTAATAGATTTTAAGACATGAGTCTAAGAATTTTTGCTTTTTCTAGACATCCACAAGCAATATCATCTCAACTGAAACTCCTAATACAGCCCCATCAAGTAAGAAAAAAGACAAAAAAGAACAGCTTTCAAAAGCCCAGAAACGTAAGCTGGCAGATAAAACAGGTTTGTATTTTTTTTCTTTTGTACCACATATACACAAATTGTTTTTAGTGTGTTATGGATGCTTTATAAACAGACATTAATTCTCTATTCTCTAAACATTTGGAGCAGAGATCTCTCTCTTTTTTTAGTTATTATTTATTTTTATTTGAAGGCCAAATATACAGAGAGGAGGAAAGACAGAGAGGAAGATCATCCTTCCAATGGCTCACTCCCCAACTGATCGCAATGGCCAGTGCTGTGCCAATCCTAAGCCAGGAGCCAGGAGCTTCTTCCAGGTCTCCCACATGGGTGCATGATCCCAAAGCTTTGGGCCGTCCTCAACTGCTTTCTCAGGCCACACACAGGGAGCTGGATGGAAAGCGAGGCTACCGAGATTAGAACTGGTGCCCATATGGGATCCTGGCACGTTTAAGGTGAGGACTTTAGCCACTATGCTATCACGCTGGGCCCAGGCAGAAATCGTTTAAGTCACAAATGTGTTTTGAAAGTTATTAGGAGCCCAGCGTGGTGGCCTAGTGGCTAAAGTCCTTACCCTGCATGTGCTGGGGTCCCATATTGGGACCGGTTCGTGTCCTGGCAACCCTACTTTTCATCCAGCTCTCTATACTTGTGGCCTGGGAAAGCAGTTGAGGATGGCCCAAAGCCAAAGAACGCTGCACCCACAAGGGAGACCCGAAAGAGGCTCCTGACTCTGCTTCGAATCGACTCAGCTCCAACTGTCACAGCCACTTGGGGAGTGAACCAGCTGACAGAATATCTTCCTCTCTGTATATCTGACTTTCCAAAAATAAATAAATAAATAAATCTTGGGCCCAGCCTGATAGCGAAGCAGTTAAAGTATTCGCCTTGAACATGCTGGGGTCTCATATGGGCACTGGTTCTAATCCTGGCAGCTCCACTTCCCATCCAGCTCCCTGCCTGTGGCCTGGGAAAGCAGTAGAGGATGGCCCAAAGCTTTGGGACCCTGCATCCGCATAGGAGACCTGGAGGAGGCTCCTGGCCTCTGGCTTCAGATCGGCTTAGCTCTGGAAGTTGCAGCCACTTGAGGAATGAATCATCGGATGGAAGATCTTCCTCTCTGTCTCTCCTCCATTCTGTATATCTGACTTTGTAATAAAAATAAATAAAAAACCTTTAAATAAATAAATAAACAAATAAATAAATCTTTGGGGAAAAAATAGTGTACATTTTTAAATTGATTTTTAAAATAGTGTGTATTAATAAAAGTATTATTTAATATACAATATCATATTAAAAGAATGAAAGCACTTGCCGACTTTGAACTCTTAGACAAATTTTTGGGAGCTAATTTCAATCATTCCTAACAGATTCAAAGTCTTTGTAAAAGAATATTTGCTCAAATAATTATTTTGCTTATTTTTAACTTTGAATGGGAAGGAGACTGAGGCAGACAGATCCTCAATGCACTGGTTCACTCTCCACATGGCTGCAATGGCCAGGGCTGTGTCACCTCAGGAAGGAGCCAGAAATTCCATCCTGGTCTCACTGACGTGTCAGGGAGCCATCATGTACTGCTTACCCGGGTCTCTTAGCAGGGAGCTGGATCAGACAGACGCAGAGCAGCGAGAGTTGAACCAGAGCTTTGATAAGCACTGGCACTGTGAGCAATGGCTTAACCTGCTATATTGCAATGCCAGCAGCAAATAATGAGCATTTTGTCAGAGCATAGCAATGAACATGCATGTTATCCAGGCTACTATTTAATCTTAAGTCATGGTTTCAATGCTGACTCCTGAAAGAGTGAGCTAACATGGTTTTTGTTTGTTTTTTGACAAAGCAGTGACCTTATGTCAGCTGTAGAATTATTCACATGCGTGGCACTGATAAAGCAGCTATTTTTTCTGGCAGTGCCCATCAACCTCCACAGTTTCAAATGGGTAGAAGATTTTATGTCAAATGGAAATGGGCTAAATATGGAAAAGGGAAATATTCTCATGAGAATAGTGTATTAAATTCACAGCGGTGATCAATTGTTTTTCTAAATGAGTAACATACTTTCAATGTTTAGTCTAGTTGCTGTGTGCAATAGCATATAGCATCTTATTTATTAGAAAATCAATGTTAAACTAACTGGTTTTAGAAACAACATTCTGAATTTCCCTCCTGCAGACCACAAAGGGGAACTCCCTCGAGGCTGGAACTGGGTCGATGTCGTGAAGGTATGTGAAGTCTGTGTTCTTATCTTCAGAATACTTACTGTGACCCCATCAACTAATGATATTTGTATTTTCCATTTCCTCTGCAACGTTTGGGATTTCCTGGGACGGCTGCTCGCTTTGTCACATTCAGCATGTAAGTAGTTTTCCCATATCCTTCACAGATTTCTTTCCTATCCGCTTAGCTTTCAATTTTCGTACTTCAAATAATGAGAACTAGGGTAATAATTTGTAACTGTAATAAAATCTGACTCTATAAATACATCTTCCAGGTCTCCCACATGGGTACAAGGTCCCAGGGCTTTAGGCTATCCTGTACTGCTTTCCCAGGCCACAAGCAGGGATCCAGGTGGGAAGTGGAGCAGCCAGCACACAAACTGGCGCCCATATGGGATCCCAGGGCATGCAAGGCAAGCATTTAGCCACTAGGGTCTCACACCGGGTCCCTGTAAATACAATCTTAAGAAGGGACATGCTCATGACTGGTGCAATGCCACAGCAGCTTCATCCTGCACCCTGGGGCACCTGCAGTCCCATATTGGTGCTGATTTGTGTCCTGAATGCTCCACTTCTGATCTAGCTCCATGCTTGTGACCTGGGAAAGCATGGCCCAGGGTTTTGGGACTCTGCACCCAAGTGGGAGAGCAAAAAAGCTCCAGGTTCCTGACATCATATCAACTCAGCTCTGGCTATTTGGGAAGTGAACCAGTGGATGGAAGTCCTTCTCTCTCTATCACTCCTCTATCTGTAAAATCTGCCATTCTAATAAAAGTAAAATAACTCTTTTTTTAAAAAGAATGCACAAGATCAAATAGTATTCTAAATTTATCAATAATATAGAAACTGAAGAAACCCAATCATGGAAAAGAACGTTTTATTTTCCTATTAAGAACTGTGTTTTTAAGTATGGAGCTTACTGCAGTTGCTTGTCATTACAAAGAAAGATTCGCCACTTTCTGTTGTGCATTTTTTTGTTAACTTCTCTCACATTTCTCTAATATTATCTGTAGCTTCAGATGTATTAAAGCTATACTTAACACAACTAGTTAATTCCTTGGTAAGACTTCATGAGCAAGGTTTTGTGTAGCAGTTAGTGCCACAATTAGATTTTTAGCGAGGGCCCTCAGATTTGATCATTTATACACTATCCACTCTTAAAGATTACCTTTCCAACAAATAAGTAAGATATATTTAAAAAGCAACTGTTTGGTCCATGGGATGCCTCTCTATGGAGGTTGTTAAAAATAATTTTTGTCATCCTAGAATCTGATACATAGAATTATAGGGATAAGGAGCCATCAGGTACAATTGGAATAAAAAATTTGCAGTATTTCTTCCCTTCAAATGGACAGGCAGCTAACCTTGTCTGATATGTTTTATGGTTGAAGCTTCTCTGTTCTTCTTTCATTGTCCTGAGCCCCTCTCCACTGATATTTGATGGGCGCTTCATGTTATGCTGGGTACACCTGCATGTAACTCACCAGTCAGGTCCATTCTCTCCTCCAAGTGTGCTGGGTTCAAGAAGAGCCACTTTCTGGATCGAGTATGTCTTCTCTAAGTGCAGCAGATCTCAGCTGAAAGTCAGCTGAGTGGTGATGGTCTCCCCTTCCCCATATAGAGAGGTTTTTTTTTTGGAGATTTTTAAGAGTCCCTGTTAATATAAGTAGTGTTCCAAATTAAAAATAAACCCAAATAAGCTGATAATCTTGGAAGATGGCGAAAGATACCACAAGGACCATGCTTGGTCTTGGAATCTGTTATCCTGAGCCAGTGGTTTTCATGTGTTTCCTTGGACCTCTGAGATCCTGAGACTGCAGAGTCAAAACTATTGACACCATAATCATGCAGTGTGCTTTGGCCGCGCGTGTGCCTGGTGTGTTCAGAGGGTGCGTGACAGGGTGCGGGATGCAGTAGGGCATGTGCTTGTAGTACTGTGTTCTCCAGAATTTCTCAGGCGGGAGGTTTGTTTTCTGAGTGTGCGCCTTGTTAGCTCAGGTGTTACCTACCACCGTGCTGTCTTCCAAGGTGCTGGCTTTACTGTAGAAGCAGATTCCTGAGCAGCAGTCTTACACAAATGTCAAACCAGGACCACTTGGCACACTAAGCTTCATTTGTTCTTTTTAGAACATGTAGTATTTTTCCTTGAAACATATGATTGAGCTATTATACAATGTGTTTATTAATATTTTTATGTAAATTTATTCTCTTTTCATTTCAAATGCAGTAAGTAGAACTTCATTTTAAAAGTTCTCATGGTTCTCAACTGTTAAGTGTGTAAAGAAGTCCTGTGACAACATGTTGAAGCCACTGCCTTTCACAGTTTCTGCTTTACCCGTATCCTCTGAAATTCCTGCATTTGTTAGATGCACTGGAGTTTGTTTGAAAGATAGAGACTGCCCAATTGCTGGCATACTCCCCAAATGCCTGCAGTGGCTAGAACAAGGCTGGGCTAAAGCTGATGCCAGAAACTCAATCTAGGTCTCCCACCCACGGCTTAAACTGTCACTGCTACTTCCAGGAGGGAGGGGCAGAGGCAGATACTGAACCCAGGCACTCAACTGTAGCACTTGGGTGTCTTAACCAGCTTCTTGCTGAAATGAAATGAAATAAAAATGATTAATTTATTTAGAAGAGTTACAGAAAAGGAGAGACAGATCTTGCACCTGCTGGTTCACTTTCCAAATGGCTGTAAAGGCCAGGGCAGGACCAGGCCTAAGTCAGAAGCCAGGGAGTTCTTCCTCGTCTCCAACATGGGTGCAGGGGCCCTAACAACTTGGACCATCTTCTGCTGCCTCTCCCAGGCCATTAGCAAGGAACTGAATCAGAAGTGGAGCAGCCAGGACTTGAACCAGCACCCCTATGGGATGCCAGCATCACAGGCAGTAGCTTTAGCTGCCATACCACAACTGCAGCCCCATGTCATTCATTTTATAAGTGGTACCTTCCATTTTTCTATTTTTCCTGACTTTTATTTATATTTTCTGGTTTTTTAGAAGTATGTATTTTATGTATTTGAAAGGCAGAGCAACAGAGAAAGAGTTTTTCATCTGCTCTCAGCGTCTGGGTCTGCACCCAGCAGAAGCCAGAGCAAGGGACTCTGTCCAGGTCTCCGACAAGGAGTCATGGGCCCAGGCACTTGAGTCATCCAACACCTGCTGCTTTGTCTGGCACAGTAACAGAGCTGGATGGGAACCAGAGCAGCTAAGGCTTGAACCAGTGCTCCTATGCAGGAAGTAGACATTGGCAAGCAGCGGCTTAACCAGGCATGCCACAACTCTGGCCCCTCTTGCTTATTTATAGAATTTTAAAGATTTATTTATTTTTATTGCAACACCAGATATACAAAGAGGAGGAGAGACAGAGAGGAGGACCTTCTGTCTGATGAATCACTCCCCACGTGTCCACAATGGTCAGTGCTGCACCGATCTGAAGCCAGGACCCAGGAACTCCCTCCAGTTTTCCCACCTGTGTCTCATGCGGGTTCAGGGTCCCCAGGCTTTGGGCCGTGCTCAACTGCTTTCCCAGGCCACAGGCAAGGAGCTGGATGGGAAGCAGGGCTGCTAGGATTAGAACCAGTTGCCCATATGGGATCCCAGCATGTTCAAGGCGAGGACTTTAGCCATTAGGCTACCATACTGGGCCCAGAATTTTTTTTTTTTTTTTACATTTTTATTGTGTGAAGGTCATATTTTCACTGAGATTATGTTTTTAAAAACCTAGTTGAGATAGGTAAGCCTAAGGATGAAATAAGCTATAGATGGTTTAAGTTACTCAAACCTTGTTACCTGCCTGTTGGTACTTCATTTTGATATTGAATGGAAATGAATAATAGAACCATTTAAACTTACTGAATATCTCTTTTTTCTCGTAGTTAAGCAAAACTGGCTCAAAAGATGATGAATAGCACATGGAATCTGAGACAAGGAAAACACATCCTTTAAAAAGTAAACTGGGTTCAAAGTCTTACGTTACAATTTTCTGTTGTCAAGATGGATTTTTATAAAAACACAACTTTTTTTGTAAGTTTCTTACATAAAGTGTTGTAAGTGGAACGTTCACAGAGTTCTGGTTGTATTAAATTATGACTTTCACAATCTTGCCTTAATAAAAGGTAAACATGTTCATTGTTAGCATACTTTATGAAGCGTGTTGAGCTTTGTGAATGGTCAAATAAGGAAGAATAAGAGTGATTAATTTATATGATCTTATTCTTGTGGATGTGCTACTTTTTAAAAGGAGACTAAAGCCCTTTACACACTGTCCTCCCCATGCAGCAGGATATTGAGTTGACCCGTATCACTGGGCTTCTAGAAAAAAGTCTTTATTTCTGCTTTTGTTTAACTACTGAAGCACAAATTGCCTCAGAGAAGTTAGAATATCTATATTTGAACTTTACACATGGGTACTCTTTGTAATTCATTCTTAATTTTCAAATGTGACCCTTTAATAAATTGATAACTTTTTTATATTTTTATCTTAATTTGAATCAAGATATTTGATCATGAAAGCTTTCATAGATATGTGGGTTAGGAGAATATATAAAAACACACCTGCCAAATTGATTTGAAAGCATTTGCATAATAAGGGTTAGCTCTTATTGAAAGCATTTCTCTTTGCTGAGGATACCAGGATGAGAGTAAAAGATGCCTTAATATTTAATTGTTGTATTGTTAGAGATAGTGAGTTTAATAAATTCCTATTTATCCTCTGTTTTGTGATTTTAGTTCTTGGATAACTGATTTCTTCTAGATGTTTCAACAGAGAACCATATCTCGAGTCCTGTTCATTACCTTTTCAAAGGTCCTTATGTATTTTTCAACCTGATCATCTTTTTAAAAGAAGTCTTTCAAATGCTAAGCTGTTGTACATGCCTGATTTGTTTTTAAGTTATGACTGAAGAAAACTCTTCTAGTTTCACCAGTAAGAGTTATTTATGTTTATTTATGTGTGATTGGTGGTGATTTTGTCTGTACTCTCTCGCTTTAATGGCACTTAGACCTACTGCTTTATCAGGAGGAGCAGCTTGTTAGTTCCTTGTGTTAAACCTGTGCAACTTGGGTCTCAGTATTTAGTGAACAATTAACTTTTCAAGATGTTACCTTAGTGTGAGAGCAGGTTTGAGTTGTATCCACACTTTTTACTGGGTTGGCTTTCACTTCAGTTACATCATTTGAATGATAACGATAATATTTTATTATATATAAAGAACTACAATGAAAGAGTTTAATCTCATTTTCAAAAGCTGAATCACATTTTCTTTCTTGATTTAATATACATACAGAGCAAAACATTAAAATTCAGAATCACTAGGGTTGCTAATTTTTGTTTGGGGTTGTGTATATTTAGTTCTTGTGTCGATTTATTTGCTTACCATTGAATAAATATCTGCTCATGGAAAAATAATACTTTGTACTCTGAAATTGACCAGACCTACCATTGTCCATAGCATACAGAGAATAATGCTAGTTAAATGCCAATGAACTATTTTTACTCTTTTTATATGAGATGTACAGATTTCTGGGGTGATGGTGGCAGTGGTGCCTCTTATTACCTTCTGTAAAACACTTGAAACTTCTCATCAGTACTGCCATCATCTGTCTAATACTCCCAGTATATTTTCTCAGTCTGTTTACTTAAATTTGTGTGGAATGATGCAATAAGCAATAAAGTCTACATCACCATGATTGTTCTACATGTTTTATTTCAAATCACCATAGAAGGCTGCTAGGTCTTTGGGCCTGCCTGTGTGATGGATGCTAAGTCCTTTAGCCCCAGGGAAACGGGGAAAGGGGGGTATGGTGGGACCCACATACCCTGGTGCAGGTCCTTGGGCGTGCCTGCACAGTGGGTGCCAAGTCCATGAGCCCCAGGGAGAGGGAGTGCCAAGGGATCCAGATCGCTAATGTCGGGTCCTTGGGCTCACCTACGAGAACTGGTCCTCTGCAGTGGAAAGGACAAGTAGTGGATGCCTGACCCAGATCCACATAGAGGATATGGCAGCCCATTTTGGGCCTCCAGAAGACATCTGTTACCATAGCAGAGGAAGGGGAACAGAACAGAATGGACTACTACCCCAAAGATGACAGCAAATATGATCTTTGGGCAGCAAATATCTGGGTGAATGGAGACTCTGAGGTGGACTTTGTCAGCCAACGGACCTTGGGAGTGTTCCCTCATCTCTGGATCGGTAAGATTGACATCTCAGAACTATCGAAAGCGCCTGGGCAGAGCCCTGAGTGTATGCCACGTCAGGACTGATATTGGGTGGCTGTTGCCCACACCCAGATGCTGGGGCAGTTGGGAGACTGGGTGTGGTTTCTCCCCTGATCTCCTCCCTCCCCCAGATACAGGAAAAATAAACAGAGAACTTGGAAATAATGATCACACCCACTTTTCCTTGACCCTCAATCCTTCCTACCCTAACCAACTATGCAAACATCATCTAAAACATTTTTTTAAAGGATGATCATTTTATAAATATTTCTAGCCTCTTCCTAAAAAGTATTCCAAATGTTGGACTGAAAAAATGTTTTTCACATGAGCTCACACAAAGTTAAGAGTACCCAGTGTCTAAAAAACTAAATAGAAGGTGTAACCTGGAAATTAATGACCACCTTACACCTTCAGGGTCTGGAAGATGGAAGAGGAAGTCCACACAGTCAGCCCAGGGTGGCAGTGTCCCTCTGTCACATGTACCCTCCCTGCCCCCTCCCAACACATACCACGCATGTGCACAGTTGGGACCCATGTCCCAGTGAAGGTCCCATCTGGTTAAAAGCAGTAAGCTATGAGCCTATATATGCATATACATGCATACATAAGCTCACCTGAAAATTGTGCCTGTAAATTACCTCATTTTTAGATTTCAACCCAAATTCCTATCTGAAAATGGCCTTTTAAAAATAAATTAGATAGGGCCCGGCACGGTGGCGCAGTGGTTAAGGTCCTCGTCTTGCACGCCCAGGATCCCATGTGGGCGCCGGTTCTATCCCAGCAGCCCCGCTTCCCTTCCAGCTCCCTGCTTGTGGCCCAGGAAAGCAGTCCAGGACAGCCCAAAGCTTTGGGACCCTGCACCCGCGTGGGAGACCTGGAAAAGGCTCCTGGCTTTGGATCGCATAGCATTGGCCGTTGTGCTCACTTGGGGAGTGAATCATCGGACGGAAGATCTTCCTCTCTGTCTCTTCTCTCTGTATATCTGCCTTTCCAATAAAAAAATAATAATAAAAATAAATCTTTAAAAAAATAAATTAGAGCCCGATGTGGTAGCCTAGTGGCTAAAGTCCTCCTCACCTTGCATGCGTCAGGATCCTTTCTGGGCACCAGTTCTCATCCCAGCAGCCTGGCTTCCCATCCAGCTCCCTGCTTGTAACCTGGGAAGGCAGTCAAGGATAGCCCAAAGCCTTGAGACCCTGCACCTGCTTGGGAGACCTGGAAGAAGGTCCTGGCTTTGGATCAGTTCAGCTCTGGTCATTGCAGCCACTTGAGCAGTGAATCATTGGTCAAAAGATCTTCCTTTCTGTCTCTCCTCTCTGATTATCTGAATTTCCAATAAAAATAAAATAAATCTTTAAAAAAAAAAAAGATTGTCTTCTCTCTGTATATCTGACTTTCCAGTAAAAACTTTAAAAATAATAAATCTTAAAGTCTCTTTAAAAAATAAATTAGCGGGCCCGGTGGTGTGGCCTAGCAGCTAAAGTCCTCGCCTTGAACGCCCAGGATCCCATATGGGCGCCAGTTCTAGTCCCAGCAGCTCCACTTCCCATCCAGCTCCCTGCTTGTGGCCTGGGAAGGCAGTCAAGGACGGCCCAGAGCTTTGGGACCCTGCACCCATGTGGGAGACCCGGAAGAAGTTCCTGGATCCTGGCTTCGGATTGGCATAGCATCAGCCGTTGCGCTCACTTGGGGAGTGAATCATCGGATGGAAGATCTTCCTCTCTGTCTCTCCTCCTCTCTGTATATCTGACTTTCCAATAAATAAGTAAATCTTTAATAAATAAATAAATTAATTAACTAAATCAAAACTTCTGAACCAGCAAATAAACCCACCATTTGTGATGCCGCTGGCATGCCATTTGGGCACCAATTCGTGTCCCAGTTGCTCCTCTCCAAGTGTTTGGGCCCCTGTTACCGCTCAAGGTAAACCTGAAAGAAACTCCTGGTTCCTGGCTTTGGCCAGGCCCAGGGCTGGCTGCTGCCACCAGCTGGGAAGTAAACCAGCAGATTAAAGATCTTTCTCTCTGTTTCTCCTTGTTTCTGTAAATCTGCCTTTCTAATAAGAATAAATAAATCTTTAAAAACATAAATGCCTTTGAAAATGTTAAGAATTTTTATTCATTCTACATCACCCAAAGATCAACCAAGTAAAGCTACACTTACTCTCATGAGGAGAGGAGCAAATGTTTGGTTAGAGCAAGATCCTGAGTGACTGGTTCTGTAATTAAGAAAACACATGATAATTTTTTTGCTTATAAATAGCTGAAGAGCACTTCAAAAGACAAACAGAATAGGGCCCGGCGCGGTGGCGCAATTGGTTAGAGGTCCTCACCTTGCACGCCCGGCATCCCATATGGGCGCCGGTTCTAGTCCCAGCAGCCCCGCTTCCCATCCAGCTCCCTGCCTGTGGCCCGGGAAAGCAGTCAAGGATGGACCATCGGATGGAAGATCTTCCTCTCTGTCTCTCCTCTCTGTATATCCGCCTTTCCCATAAAAACATAATAAAAATAAATCTTAAAAAAAAAAAAGACAAACAGAATAAAGACAAAGATAAGTTGTTACAGTTGTCATTTCTTGCTTGTGAGAAAGAAAAATAAGACAAATGGGTTAACTTTCCCACCATTTTTCACTTGCTGGCTGATTTTGCTGTGTAAATCTGGCTTCCAGAATCCATTGTCTAATGGGCTGATGGTGGTGCTAATGCAGCAGCAAGCACTCCTGCCCTGCCTATTTTCTGTTTGTTTCTTCTGGCATCTGGTAGGTGCTAGGGGATCTTGCATATCTCTCTATGGCCTTGCAACGCTGCCGCCTTTTCTGGCCCTACCAGGAAGATGTGGCTTGTTGGAAAGCCTGTTGATATTTTAAGCAGCAGTTTCTATGCTAAATGCTTTCTCCTTTGATTAAAGGAGTATGTGGCTTTAAAAAAGGAGTTCCCTTCCTGGGAGGAAGGAGGATGCACACGGGAAAGGCTTTTGCCTCCTAAGTAGGTGATTAGAAATGAAGCTTGGAACGTTTACTAGGACAGTGCAGAGAGTGCAGAGAGCGAAGGGAGTGTTTTCAGTGAAATGTGGATGTGGATGGAGTCGACTCAGAGATTCCAGGAGGCTTGAAGGTTTTCCTTGCACACGTGTTGGGACTGACCTTCCTGTTCCCATGGCAAGGCAAGGCTGAAGGCCATGCATGTGTTTGGTGTGTGTGTGTGTGTGTGTGTGTATTGTAGATTTGCTTATTTAAAGATAGAGTTAGAATGAGTTTCCTTCTGCTGGTGTTCTCCCCAAATGACCTCAATGGAAAGAGTTGGGCCAGGTCAGAGCCAAGAGCCTAGAACTCCATCCAGGTGGATGGCAGGAGCCCAAGGTCTTGGTTCATCTTCTGCTGCTTCTGTGCACATTAGCAGAGATGTGCTGTGTCCCTGCCAATGTGCCATATTTGTGTGTGAGCAGTGGTCAGGAGGTGTTGAGTCACCAATATTTCTTCTCACAGCAGGGCAGTAAAACCTAGGAAGCTTGGACCTCATGGTGTGCCGAGGCCTTTGTGTCTCTCAGGCTCCTTCCATGGAAACAAGCACTTTAATCATGACTGTTTTTACTGTCTGTTTTGTATTCTTGCAATCAGGCTGTCTACATATAAACCCAGTACTTGATGAATGTTAGATAGGATTAAAAACATAAAAGTGGAAAGTTATTGAAAACCTTCTTTCTGTTCTTTTCTTTTTCTGAGGATCACTACCTCTACAAGGTGTCAATTTGTTGTTATGGGTAAATGTTGGCTATACTAAGTATTCTTTTCTATCTAAAAGCCACTCCAAGATAAAACTCCAAGATTAAAAACTAAAAATTGGTGGATGTTACATCACTCGTGGCCTTCCTGGTCATTGAGGAATCATGGAATCTGGGTCACAGGAATGTCTAATAGACAAGGATAACATCCACACAATGTTGACACGTGCCATCTGGTCAGTGTTCCATACATCACTGTGTTTTTCTTTTGTGTGTCACTGACAGTCCCTTATTAAGACTTTGTCTCCCCTGACTCCAGATACAGGGGGAAAAAGTGAGGAAATTAGTGTGGAAACAATGGTATTACCCACTTTCCTGTAGCCCTGGCTGGACCCTTTGTACCCTAATCAACCAAGTAACATTCTTAAACAAAAAAAAGAAAAAAGGCTTTATTATATCAAAGTCATACATGTTAGAAGCCAAGTGCCCACTGGCTTCTATGGAAAAGGATCATCTTCACAGCCACACCCCTCAGGAAGGGACCACTTCCAACTGTCTTCTGCCCAGGCAGGTCTTGCTGGCCCTGGTCTGTGGCCTACGGCTCTGTGTGTGACCTCATCTGTCACGTTGCACCATGCCTCTGCCTTGTGGCCTCCACTCTGGGTGTTTCCTCTGCATGGGACTCTCTTCCTGCCCATCACATGGCTGGCTGGCCTTCCTCTGGGTATGTACAAAGCCTCTCCAGT